AGAAAATGGGTTACTCTGTAACCATTATTGTTTTTGTGGAGCTTATTAATAGACATTACATTTATGAAATCTATAGTGGCTTCCACTAGTATTATCCTTTAACATGATTGGTAATGTTTAACATGGTTGGTAATGTTTAACATGGTTGGTAATGTTTAATAAAGAAACTAGGAGAGAAGATTACTGATACATTGATACTCTCTTCGTCTCACTTTACTTGTCTCATAACCATTTGCACAAAATTTTAAACACGTGAAATGAGTTAATTATAAGTGTGTGGCTTAAGCGGTCAACTCAAGTGAAAAATAAATAGTAAAAAAAAAAACGTATTTTGAAATGAAACATCTATCTCAAATAGAAAAGTGACGCAAGTATATTAAGAAAATAGTAAGCTTATCTAAAAACGGTGAAAGGAAATGGAACGTCAATTATAGACAATATAAGTAGAACTTGTAGAAGATATCATGTTGATTTGTCGTTCTTGTTATTGCTTAGAATTAGTCCCTCAAAAATTAATGACAATTGAAAAGGATTTTAGGCTTTATGCTTTTAATAATGAACATTTTATGTGGTTACATTAATATTAGACTATTATGTACTATCTCCGTTCCTAAAAGTATATTACACTCACTATTTTAACGAACTTTAATGAGATTCTATAACCATTAATATCTCTATAGAGTCTGTCAAGAAAAAAAAAAAAAAAATCTCTATAGAGATATTATTGCATTTGTCACCAGTTCCATATTAGCCATGGAAAGCTCAAATTTCTCACTAAATGCACTTGATATTTTTATTTGTATGCTTGGCCTTATTTATTGTAACTCATCATTGCTATGAGACTATGAGAGTCTTTGCTAATTTTCTATATGATGCTTATTTTACAAAATCTGACCTATTTATATAATTTCAGTTTACTGATAATGCCTTTTAATTTCTGCAGCATGATAGATCAGGAAAATAAAAAAATTAAAAGTAAAGCTCGAATGACTTGAGCTTACTGCCCTTCTTTCCTGCTGCTGCCGACAGTGCAGCCCTGTTGCTGCTATTTTGCTATGCTGGAGCTGCTGCTACTTTTGCTTTACTCGAGCTGCTGCTTGTGCTTTGCTGAGATTAGGGGCAGGTGTGGCTTCAAGCTGGTATAGCTCAATAATGTGGTGTTCAGATGTTGCAGATTGTATTAAAATTGGTGGTGTTTAGAATATAGCCCCTGTTGCATGATGCTCTATGCTACTGCTGTTCTCTACTGCTCTCGCTGCTGCTAATTTGCTCTACACTACTACGTACAATATTAAACTATGTTCTGTAATTTTTTTCTTTTTTGAACTAAAATTGTAATATTATAGCTTTGTATTAATGAAAATTATAAGTTTATATATATTTTAGTGTTTATATATCAATTTAAGCAAAAAAATGCAAAAAAAAATAAAAAAAATTGGGCCATTTTTGGCACCGGTTTTGAACTTGAACCGGTGCCAAAAACCCTTTTTTTGCCACCGGTTCTGAACCGGTGCCAAAAATCCCACTTTTTGGCACCCCCCAAATACTCAACGGTTCAAAATCGGTGCCATAGGGGGGTTTTGAACCGGTGTCATTGTACATTTTTCTACTAGTGCTAATTTTGTTTTACCCAAAAAAAAAACATTGATATAGAAAATAAATTTGGTCGAGATGAACAATAAGTGGTGTGTACACGTTGATTAAAGCGGAATGAACATCGTATATAGTTATAAAGAACATCATGAATTTATAAAATAACATATCACTAAAATATAAAGAACATATTAATTTCTGATAAATGGTATTTAAAAAAGGTAAAAGATATTTACTAATTGAGTTTTACCAAAAAAAAAATTATATATATATAAAGGGGAGTTTTTTTCCCGAGTTTTTAGCGAGTCATATAGGTTTAATTTTCTTAACGCGCCACGTAGGATTATAAATTTTAATTGTAGTCAATAAAATAAGATATTATTAATTTCTGCTCTGCTCGGCTCTGCTATCCTGAAATCTGCTCTGCTGAAATTTAATCTACTCTGCTCTGCCCAGAAACTCAAAAGAACAGGGCCTAAGTAACTCCTATAACCCTAATCAAGTAACATGATTATATGTAATCTCACGTACAAAGTACAAATATGATTCAAGTGGTGTTTGTAAAATAGTGCAATTATCAAAATCAAGGGAGGTTAATCTTAAATGGTAAAGCAATAATTAAACGCTGAATATAACAATCGATTGTAGCTTAGGAATTCCAAGTTAATCTTAAGCGAACAAGGCCCCGTTCTTTAGAGCTGCTCTGCTCTGCTCTGCTTCAATCTGCTCTACTCTGCCCTGCTCTACTTAAAATTAATACCTAATATTGAATTATTATAATAATAATAATTAATATTTAATAATGATACTAAATAATTAATATTTAATAATAATAATTAATATTTAATAAGAATAATAACAAATAATAAATATTTAATAACTATTAATATTTAATAATAATTAATACTCAATAATAATAACAATAATTAATTATTGATATTTAATAAAAATAATAATAATTATTATTATTAATTATTAATATTTAATAATAATAATAATAAATTATTAATAATTATTAATAATAATAATTAATATTTAATAAAAATAATAGTAATAATGATAGTAATTATACTAATAGTAATAATAATACTTATAACAAATAATATTAATTATAATATTAATAATTGATTTTTATAATAACAATTAATATTAAGATAATAACTAATATTTAAAGATAATACTAATTATTAATTTTTAATAATAATAATAATTATAATTAATATTTAACTTTAGAAATTTAATTATTATAATAATAATGCGATAATATTAGTAGTAGTAACAATAATAATAATAATAATAATAATAATAATAATAATAATAAATATTTAATAATAATAATAATAATAATAATAAATATAATGATAATAATAGTACTAGTAGTAGTAGTAGTAGTAGTAGCAGCAGCAGCAGCAGTAGCAGTAGTAGTAGTAATAATGAAATCTGCTCTGCTCTGCTCGGCTCGGCTCTGCGCTGCTGAAATCTGCTCTGCTCTACTTTGATTTGCTGAAATCTGCTCTGCTCTGCCCAGAAGCTCAAAAGAACAGGTAAGTGTTGTTACAATTTTAATGGAGCACATTAAACCTAGTAAAACATAAGATAATCAACCTTAAAAAAAATCATAGTGCCAAATTGTCTATAATTCCAAAGTAGGCATCATATGCTAAGTAATGATACTCCACAAATGAAGCCTACTTTTTCTTTTTATCTAACTATAAAAGAAGAAAACTACTTTCATAGTCTTTATTTATTATTGGAAATCTACCCTACCATATTTCTATACTCCAATAGGCTAATTTGCCTCTATATTAATCAAGACTAAATGTTAATTACATTAGGAAGAACCTTGGACAGTTGAATGGAACTGTCCAACTTATACTCCTAATTAAGTGGGCATAAGAAGTCTAATTGTCTTTTCATCTACCAAGTGAGGGACACATGCGTAATTTGTTACATAAAGTCAAAGGCAAGTTGCATAAAGTCATTGGACAGCCGTAAAAAGTACAAAATTATTGGTCAAGCTTTTGCACATATTTACATAATATGCCACCGGATTAACAAAATTCCGTTAATCTAGCAGATTAACTTGTATTTGCCGGCAGAATACTACACTCCCCCCTCCCCCTCGGCCCCTCCGGTATTCTGGCTGCTACCCTAGCCGAATATCCATAGAATAGTTAATAAAAGAGGCATAACATGAAGTAACTGAAATTGCAAAGTTTTTTTTAAAGTGTCACTTTATAAAACATTATCATCAGCATCAATATACTCAAGTAGAAAATCAATTGCTATAGAGCCAATACTCTGCAGCAAATACTAATATTATATGAAACACTCATACTCAAATAATATAACAGCTCAATTTAAAACCATGATTTTCAGTCGTTGATAAAATGACAGTCCAGTTGCAGGGTCTGGGGCACCGAAAATAACTCCCAAGACTCGAACTTTGTAGACTCAGATGAGTATTTCCATCTGTTACACTTCTGTTATGGTTGCTGCTGATATAAAAGTGATCACAGTTAAAATCTGATGGCAGAACAGAATATGGTGAAGCAGTAGAAATCGGTTTTCCTGCTTTTTCAAGGCTGGGCATCCCAACATTTTTAAGAATTTCCGGCTTTAAGATTCTTCCTCATTCATTTGACTGTTTCTCACATATGATTCAGTCACAGCCACATCAAATAATAGATAGTGGTCTCAAAAATAATAGATTAACATAGTTATGGTCTCAAAACTCCAACAGTTAGTGGTAAAACATAATGTTAATAACATATTCACGTTAAATAATTTGATACCAATTCAATATATAGAAGGGTCATTGCACCAATTAACACAAAGAGTCACCGGTTAATGTCAAATTGGCTATTCAACAAGTTTAAGGTTGAAATTATATATTGTGGAGAGGTAGCAGAATCCCAGGCTACGAAGTTAGCACTTAGCAGAGCCTGAACCAATTTAAACATCAGCAATTTATGGGAACTGGAGAATCGACAGAAGGGTTAAAAAGACAGATAAACAGCAAACAAGTCTCTGCAACTTTTGCCTTTGGCATATTGATAAAACTATAAAAGTGAACAATCAAGGACACTCCAGAAGCATATTTACTAAATCTTGCAAAAGTATCTAGGCAAAACTGTTGAATTCACACAGTAGACAATGCTGCATTGCTGCATCATTGCATAGTTTATGTTCTTTCAGCAGAACACCCTTTAATTCCTAACACTACAAAAGTAAAGCAATTAACATTCATTAATCAGATAGTAAAAACACTGAAACAATAATCCAAATTAATCTATTAACATGATATTTCCAAAGCTATCAGGAAAATCAGCTTAATTGGACCAGGTGTTAATTTTTCTGAGCTACATCAGCAAAGACCAAAGGCCAATTTGTTCATTTCTTTTCAGTCAGTAACTCGGAGGAGAATTCATCTTGCTGAGGGATATTTTTTCAAAAGGCTTGGAGAGGTAATTGTGTTTTTGAGCTGATAGTTCTTGAGCAACATAACGCATAGTAGGCCGTGAGTCTGGTTCTGAACTCGCGCATAACAGAGCTAATGTGAATACAATCACCACTTCCTCTGCTAAACGCGTTGTAGGTGGTGATAGGCGTTGGTCCAAAATGTCTTTAAGTAGCATATCAGGCCTGCTATCTGAAGATGATAAAGAAGACAGCAAGTCTCCTGGATGCTTCCCCATCAAAACTTCCAATGCCACAACTCCATAGCTATAAACATCACACTTTTCAGTCACCCTCATTGTCAGAGCCAGCTCTGCCAATTATGAACAAATAAAAGAAAAATTACATTATTTTGAGTACTGGGAGAGAAAAATTCAAACAAAACACTAATTATGAAGACAGAAAGCATGATGATCTACAACAAATCATGTCTACAACTAGGATTATAAAGACGAGGATCAGACGTACCAGGGGCCATATAGCCATAAGCTCCAGCAATTGCAGTCCAGTAAGATGTATCTGATTTAAGAAGCTTTGCGGTACCAAAATCTGATAGCCGAGGCTCAAATTCATTATCAATTAAGACATTATTTAAGGATATGTCACGGTGAACAATGGAGGGGGTACAATCATGGTGCAAGTAAGCAACTGCATGTGCCAACCCTCGCACAATATTCACTCTTCTTTCTCAGCCTAATTCCATTTTGTCTTGTGCATCATACAACACTTCCCTCAAATTACCCCTTTCAATGTAGTCATATACCAAGTACATGGATCGTCCTTTGGAGCAATACCCGTACAATTTGATGATATTCCGATGCCTGACCTGTGTCAATGCCTTGACCTCGTTCATGAAACTATGTCGACTTGTTGAGGAGATGTCACTACATTCTTCCATGTGGAGCTTCTTAACAGCAACTATGTGACCTGATGGCAAAGATGCCTTATACACATTACCAAAACCTCCTTTCCCAATGCAGCAAAACTCACTGAAATCATCAGTCGCCTTTTGAATATCTGTACATGTAAATCTTTCTTCAGTCTCCCATATCAATGATTCGGATTCATCAACCTCCAAAACTCCACTCTCTGCACCATGCTTGTTATTATTCTGGCAACGCAGTAAATAAGCAATACCTACCCCAAGAAACAAAAGAGAAACAGCTGGTACGACAACTGCAATTATAATCTTTATGTGAGTATCAAGATTACCACAAGGGGATAGTCCTGTTGCATTTCCGCAAAGACCAGGATTTCCCACGTATATTCCTTTTTGAAAAAATTCATCCCTAGGAACTGAACCTGATAAACTGTTGTAGGAAAGATCAAAGGACTTAAGACTATACATGTTTGATAATGAGAGTGGGATACCCCCAGTGAGATAATTGTGAGAGAGATTAAACATTGTCAAAGTTTTGAGCTTGCCGAGGTTTTGAGGAATTTGACCTGAGAAAGAATTACTACTAAGATCCAGAAGGTACTGAAGTTCATTCAAGTTGCCGAGTTCAATTGGTATATTTCCATGCAAGTCATTGTAACTCAGGTTTAAGCTCAGTAACCGTACACAATTTCCAAGCTCAATAGGAAATTCTCCAGAGATATTGTTTGCTGATAAATCAAGATACTGAAGAGACTCCAATTTTCCTAAGGTTCGTGGAATATGCCCTATCAAGTGATTATTGCTCAAGTTAAGGTTATACAGCTTGCTTAAATTACCAAGTTCATCTGGAATTTTCCCACTCAAATGATTTGAGCCAAGAGTTAGAACACCCAAACGTGATAGTTTCCCAAGTTCAGTTGGTATTCCCCCTGAAAGTTTGTTTTCCCCCAACCGAAGATCTGTCAGATTCTTACATTCTCCCCACTTGGGAGAGATCTTGCCAACAAACTGGTTGTCATTCATGCTGATATAATAGAGCTTGGGATGGATACCGAATGCATCAGATATACTACCGTTGAACTCATTTTCTTCCAACCGGACTCTAGTTAATCTTGAGCAGTTCCTCAAGCAATCCGGAATGGCACCAGTAAAACTATTATTATTAGCTGTCAAGTACTCCAGCTTAAAACCATTACATAAGCCAGGAGGAAGACTACCTGAGAAATTATTATTTGTAAAGCTAACAGCAGTAAGGGAAAGAAAATCCTCACCAAATTTTGGAGGGATTTTCCCAACCAAATTATTTTGGGCGACAGAGAAGTCTTTTAGGTTCCGAAGATTAGAGAGGGTATCTGGCAATTCCCCTTTCAGATGATTGTTATTGAGATTAAGAATAGTTAATGAGGTTAGGTTTCCAATTTCTGGTGGGATTGTTCCAGTAAGTTGGTTTTTGAAAAGGCTGAGGGCAGAAAGATTGCCTAAGTTCCCAATGGTTGGAGGGATTGGACCTGAAAGTTTGTTTGTTGAAAAGTCCAGCTTCAGCAAGTCTTTCAGGTTTCCTATCTCTGACGGTATGGAACCGCTAAAACTGTTTTGGTAGAGAAGAAGATACTTAAGCTTTGTCAGTTGGCCTATTTCTGAAGGGATAATCCCACTAAAATTATTTCTATAAAGTTGCAAGGAAGTTAACTTTGTCCAGTTGGTCAAAAAATATGGGGGGACTTCACCATACATGTTATTTACAAATAACTCAATTTTAGATATGTTTTTGAGATTTGTCAAGGACAATGGTATCTCCCCACTAAGTGAATTATTAGAAAGAAGCAGCTCGGTAAGATTAGTACATGACCCAAGTTTGGAAGGAATTGTAGAATTCAATCTATTTGAATTAAGATAAAGGGTTTCAAGGTTATCAAGGTTTCCTATAGAAGATGGAATTCCCCCAGTGAGTAAGTTTTGGTTTAGGTGCAGAACTTTGAGCCTAGCAATGGACCCAATGCTATCAGGAATTGAACCATTAAGCCGGTTAATGCTCAGTTCAATGTGATACAGATTGGAGAGCTCGGAAATCTTAGGTGATATTGGTCCTGTGAATAAGTTATTACTAAGGTTAATGTATTTAAGTTTAGGAAGACTGCTGTAAAACAATGCTGGTATCGATCCACTGAATTTATTATTTGCCAGAGAAAGTTCGGTCAAGTTCCTGCACCTTAAAATAAAGCTTGGGAACTCTCCATCTAATTCATTCAACAACAACTGTAAGGTTGATAACATAGGCATGGTATTGAACATAGACCAATCAGGGCTTGTAAGCTTATTTCTACCCAAGTATAGGAGCCTTAGCTTCCCCGACTTACTGAGTTGGACAGGAATTTTATTTCCTATACTGTTATTATACAGGACAAGAGAGTCAAGTTGAGACAACTGACCTATTTCTGGAGGAATAAACCCATCAAACATGTTGTTTCCCAGGTCCAACTTAGTGAGCTTGGAGAGCTTACCAATGCTTGGTGGGATTTGACCTTTCAGATTGTTTTTCACGAGAACAAATCTTGTAATATTGGGAAATGCACTGAAATTGAAGCTGGTGAGGGTGCCGGCAAGGCCTCTGTTGGATAAGACAATACGGGTGATGGATGTAAGATTGTTGCAAAAAATGCCAGTCCAATTGCATGGGTTTGGATTTTCGGAAACATTCCATGATGTGAGATTAGACGACTCAGACAAGGAATTTTTCCAGCTGAGAAGTGCTTGTGCCTCTGTAAGAGTTGCTGCTGATATCGAAGTGATCTGCATTAAAAGCAGAAGACAGGTGAGAATCCAGCGAAACATAAGAATAAGATAACGCGGAGCAGGAGATTTATCAGAATTTTCCATTGCTGGGTATTAGAACTTTCAGAGGATTTCCTGCCCTAAAATACAGAACTTTGTGCAGCTTTCTTAGAATTCAATCAATTCACTCATACTCATTTGAATGGTTAATACATCTGATTCAGTGGCGGGCACATTAGAAATACTAATTACGCGTTGTCATTTATATTCATGGAATCATGGTAGCCTCAAATGTGCTAGTAAAACATGTAAAATAACAGTAAAATAAACCAACTGCCACAACTTGATCAACTAGTAGCACAAACAATTTGCAATAAATTTGTTATTATAACCCTTTTCTGTTCATATTAGATGAGAACAACTACTTAAAATGTTCTTAAATTTAATCTAGAATAATACAGAATTTATTTGAGATGCATAATGCTAAGAACAATTCAACTTAGAAACATTCTGCACTGATACTGATTCAAGTTCCAAACACTTAAATAATACAAAACTTCAGCATTCCAAGTACTTAAATTACGTCGAAAACGATACCAAGATGTTTAAATGGATGCCAATACATGAAAATCAATACTTGGTACTTAGTTCCATGAACAAGAAGCAAATTCAACCACTACGACGACATCGTGCAATTGCAGTGTAGTCTTGTAAATTTGTGCAATTGTACAAAGCAGTTTATATTATTTCTTGCACATTTATAAAAGACCAAGTAAGGGGAAGATTATTATACATCCATTTGAGGCTTACCTGAGCATTGTTCTGTAGGGCATTTTGACAAGCACCTTATGAGCATGAAGTATTGTTGACTTCAACAGCCCAAATAAAAGGGTGAAGCAGTTTAGTGACTGATTGACTTGTATACTATAATCTAAAGATTTGTATGGTAGTTAAGTTAGTTAATTTATGAGATGACATATGAGATTTGTTATCGCAGTGAGCTAGTGACGTAGTCACCATTTTTACTTGAACACTCATGAGATTTGATTTTAGGTTTTTAGTACCAACCACTAAGACTTATCCAGAGGGTTGATTGGTGTAAATGCCCTCGTGTCACAACGGACAATGGCGGCACAGGTGGAAATACCCCCTTCTTACCCAGTTAACCAATAGTGAAATCTCTTTATTTAAAGTGTGACTTTACGGTAGATCCAAGTTGATCTATTAGATTAATGAATTTCGTTATTCTGGTGGCAAACTTGTAAATATGAAATGCTATTGTTCATTATTTTAATATTATTTTTACCAACTGTTGGTGTTATTATTTTTAAGTTGATCGAAAGCGACATGTTTCTATCGTTTTCTACTATTTGGTTGCATGTAACGTGAAAGCGGGCTTCAGTTTTCATGTTCTCTCTCTTCCTCAATCTTCTCCCCTCCTACCGATTAATAACACCAACAAAGCAACAAATTACGCTTGAAGATGAGTGGGAGGAAGAAGAAGACGAAGGTGGGGTGTGAGGAAGGAGAAAGAAGAAAATGAAGGTGATTGTTTAAAAAAATTTATGAACAACTGTTTAATATATAATCGTTATACTTATTCTTGCTCTTAAAAATAAGCTAACAAATAAAATGAGGACACTTATCCTTATTTTACTGTTGTCTTTCTAATACTCCCCAAATATTGTTGATAATTGAGCTACTTTGATATCAAAATGTTAGTTGAATTGCACACAAGTTGAGTGGTTCTTTCCTTTTGCTCTAAGGATACTTTTAGCTTTCTCAGAGCATTCAAGTTTATGTTAGTTTATTATGCATTGAGTACTTATATCTCTCATGATTCTCCCATTGTATGAACTTTTTATTAATTTGTGGGATATAATTTTATACACCAACTCCTTTTGTAAGATGTATGATTCTTCAACTTTGATGACTTAACATACAATTAAGTGTAATGGCTCCAAAAGGCTCTGACATCTGATTGTTTGTTCGAGCTGACAATTGTTGAGCCACATAGCACATTGTAGGCCTTGAAGCTGGTTCAATACTAACACATAACAAAGCTAATCTGACTGCTGTCACCACTTCCTTTGCTACTCGGCCTGTAGGTGGTGACATACGTTGGTCTAAAATGTCTTTTAACAAAACTTCGTGTTTTGTAGCTGAAAACGATAATGAAGATAGAAGTTCTCCTGGATGTTTTCCCATCATAACTTCTAAAGCCACTATTCATAGCTATAAACATCACACTTCTCTGTCACTTTTATTGTCAGAGCAAGTTCTGCAACCACCAAAAAAATGGAATAAAATGATAGCAGATTAGCAGCATATACCAAATGATCTTCCAACTGTTATGTCTGCAAGAGTATAATCCTTATGCAGATGCATACTGATATCTTATACAGGACAATGACTGAACACTAATGCGGTAAAAGATTTGAGTCTAGTTTGTAAATACCTAGTTACAAGGAGATACTGTAAACAGAACATTGAAATAGTTACTGTAGTTCAGAGAACCAGATTTCATAAACTAATGAAAAGTGATCATATACACAAATGACCAATTTTTACAAGTGTATAATCTTAGCAGCTTGTGTCATATCATTAAGATAAGAATCATGACAGTTTTTGAATAGTCAAGTAATTTCGAGACAGGAATGAGATTTACCTGGGGCCATATATCCATATGTACCAGCTATTGAGGTCCAGTTGGATGCATCTGAGCTGAGAAGTTTTGCAGTGCCAAAATCTGATAGCCAAGGCTCAAAATCATAATCAAGCAAGACATTATTTATGGATATGTCACGATGAACAATGGGAGGAGTACGATCATGGTGCAAGTAAGCAACTGCATGAGCTAACCCTCTTACAATAGCCACTATTTTATCCCACTCTAGTTCCACTGAGCTCATTTCACTGTACAGCACTTTCCCCAAGCTTCCCCTTTCAGCATAATCATAGACCAAGTACATTGAGCCCTTTGTGAAGCAATAACCACATAATTTGACTACATTCCGGTGCCTTATCTCTGTCAATGCTTTTATCTCTTGCTCAAAGCCATGTCTATTTGTCAAGAGAAAGTTGCTAGATCCTGATATATTAAGCTTCTTAACAGCAAAAGTATGACCTGATGACAAAGATGCTCGATATACACTTCCAAACCGGCCTCTCCCAATACAATACGTGTCTTTAAAATCCTCGGTAGCTGTAATGACATCTTCAAATCTGAATCTTCCTTCCATCTTAAATATAAGAGACTCCAGATTACCCATATATGTGCTTCCTGTGTGAGCGTTGTTCTGCTTTTTCATTGGGCAACATAACAGCAGTATCACTACACATGCTGCAATAAGCAAAAGGGAAACAACTGGTACTAAGATTGCAATTAGCACATCCTTGTGCTTTTTGTGAGACCTGTGATCACAGGAGGTTAATCCTAATGCAATTCCACAGAGATCAGGATTTCCTATGAACAACCCACGTTGGAAAAATTTGTCACTAGGGACTGAACTCGAAAGGCTATTATAGGAAATATCGAGGAACTGTAGGCCAATCATCTTAGATAATGAATGTGGGATCATCCCTGTGAGATGATTATGGGAAAGATTCAAGAATAGCAAGGATACAAGCTTGTCAAGCTGTGGAATCGGACCAGAGAAGGAGTTGCTACTAAGGTCCAACAATAACCGAAGCTCTTCCAAGTCTCTGAGTTGTGATGGTATCTTGCCTGATAAAGCATTGTGACTCAAGTTCAAGCTTATTAAATCGTAACAATTTCCAAGCAATTCAGGAATTCCTCCTGACAGATTGTTTGCTGACAGGTCAAGATACTCGAGATCTTGCAGATTGCCTATGCTTTGGGGAATATCCCCAACTAAGTAATTACTGCTCAGATTAAGTGTTTTCAAGGAGCTTTAGTCCCCTAGTTCATCAGGGATTTTCCCACTTAACTCATTTGAGGCAAGATTTAGATCCTGCATATACTGCAACTTCCCAAGCTCGGCTAATATTTTCCCTGAAAGTTTGTTTGAGAAGACTGAGAATGTAGATAGGTTTTTAAGACGAACCAAGGAATCAGGCAACTCCCCATGGAGATGGTTGGAATACAGAACAAGGTCAGTCAAGAATGTGAGATCTCCAATCTCTGACGGTATTGTTCCATTGAGCCTGTTGGAGAAAAGATTAAGGACAGAAAGATTGCCAAGTTTTCCAATACTAGGAGGGATTGGACCGGACAGTTGGTTTGTTGAGAGGTCAAGCTTTTCCAAAGCTTTCATATTCTCAATCTCTTGGGGTATAATCCCACTGAACTTATTGTCTTGAAGTGACAGTAAGTCAATTTAGTCCAATTAGTGAAGAAATATGGGGAGAGCTTCCCAGACAGATGATTTTGAGACACGACAAGCTCTGATAGATTTCCAAGATTCGACAAGGTCAAAGGTAATTCTCCAATGAGAGAATTCCCAGCAAGAGACAGATAAGTAAGGTTCATACACAAACCAAGCTCAGAAGGAATCATAGAATTCAATCCATTCCAACGAAGATCAAGACTATTGAGGTTCTTAAGCTGGCCTATCGAAGAAGGAATCCTCCCAGTTAGTGCATTAGTGAACAACTCGACAACTTTGAGGCTAGAAATTGAGCCAATGCTCTCAGGGATGGAACCATTAATATGATTTGAGCTGAGATGAAGTTTAGTTAGGCTAGAAAGCTTGAATATATTAGCTGAGATATGCCCCCAAAACGAATTATAACTAAGATCAAGGAACTCAAGCTTAGGAAGACTAGTATAAAATGATTCTGGGATCACCCCACTAAATTTATTATTTGAGAGATTGAGGTAAGTCAGGTTCCTACAGCTAGATATGAAACTTGGAAACTCTCCATTAAAATTATTGTATCCAAAATTCAAGTGGGTCAACGAATGCAACGTAGCAAACTTTGACCAATCAGGACTGCTAAACTTATTTGATCCAATATCTAAGTAACTTAACCTCAACAATTTACTAAGTTCAACAGGAACTGCATCAGCTATATCATTATTATACAGGTCAAGATACTCGAGCTGTAATAAGTGACCGATTTCAGCAGGTATAACACCTACAAACAAGTTACTGTTGAGGTCTAAGTGAGTAAGTTGAGAAAGATTACCAATGCTTGGTGGGATTTGACCCTGCAGCTGGTTGATATTCAGGGATAAGCTTGAAAGACTAGGAAATGCACTGAAGTCAAGGCTGCTGAGTGTGCCGCTGAGGCTTTGATCGTTGAGGTCAATGTTGGTGACAGAGTTAAGGTTGTCACAGACAATGCCAGTCCAGTTGCTGCAAAGACTTTGGGCATCGGAAAGTCTCCATGATTTGAGCGAGTAAGGATCAGACAAGGAGTTTTTCCAATAGACTAGTGCCTGCACTTCTGCTATTGTTTTTGCTGATGTTAGAGTTAAAAAATGTGTAAGAAAAAAGAAGCAAAGAAAGAAAAGCTGATGTTTTCGATGTTTTGCCATGACTCGACTTCACAGGAAGTAGAGCTTACTTTCCTTTATGGTGCAGCAACAAAGAGGGTTGAATTCCAAAAGATTATGAGCTTGGTTTTTAAGAACTTGGATTTCTATAACTCCTTATATGGCTAATATACTAGTACAAAAAGTATACTGCTTTCGTTTCTTTATATCTCACAAATAATACCTTTGTTACACATAATAAGTTTAGTAGGCAAGATGTAGCTTTCATAAATTATACTGGGGCATTGTTATTGGTAGGTTTGGAATTATAATGAAAATTGAAAACTAGAAAGTGATATTTCATGTACCTGTACCACCCCTCTTTCCTTGCAATTGTGATTTTGAAATCAGCTGAAATTTCAAAAGGAATTGAATGTCAATTTTTATGAAAAAAACTAAGAACCCCTCTATAACTTTTGGGTAATATCTATGTTATCGTTATTGCCAATTTGCTGTACTGTACTATGTGCTTGGGCATGTTATCTGTGTCGTGTTTAGTTTTCATCTAAGACTCCATTCATTCAGTTTGAAAGACCTTTCAATGAATAAAGATTTTTATGAAAAAATATTCTCAAGGAAAAACACAGTTATAATCTAGTTTTTTACTTGTCTAGCTTTGATCAACTCTTATCCATTCTAATGTATTAATGCTCTTTCAATGTACACTTCTAATCACAGGAAAAGTCTCTAAGCTGTATCAGATCTAAGCATGTCATGGTCTAAAATATTATACTCAAAAGTCTTGTTTTTACATTAAAGATTAGGATAGGCTGATGCGGTGATGCCAAATTAGGGCATGTTCTCATACGTTTATTTTTAGTTCAGTTCAGCTCCTAATTTCCTTCTCTTATAAAATATTCAGTTTAGTTCATCTTAGTTCAATTCAGCTGAGTTCAGCCTATGAGAACATGTCCTAGTCTTCGTTGGAGTAATTAGCTCACCATGAAGTGACATCACTGATTTAAATTTTATTCAGTAGACTTTTCAAACTATTTTTGAGATTTTTTGTTGGAGCAATGCTTTAATACCACAAGTTTTGTGAAGAATAATATGTGAGTCTAAACTACTAAGTAAATATCCAAAGCAAATAAATGCAATACGGAATACAAAATTGAGCAACCAAATACTAATAACACACAAATTGAGACATTTCTTAATAATAAAAGAGGGCACACAAAGTAGAAATCACAATCTTACATGGTAGAGTTTTCCAAATTAATAAAAAGTGTCCAAAAACTTGCATCTAGGTTAATTAGATCCCATTTTTAACGATTAAAAACTGTTGAAACTTAGTAATGCATTCAAATAAGTTAGTTCATGATCCTTGCACTTAGCCATGTTTAATCTTGTTAATACCTTGCTTAATATCACAATCATGAACCTCTACGCATCAAGAAACACGAACCTTGCTGCTTCAGTCCGTTTGTAGGGGTGTGTGGGCTGCTGCGGGCGCGGGCCTAGGCTACTGCGGGTAGGCAGTGGCAGCAACACATCGTGAAGGTCGCAGGTCAGACCCGCGAGTTTGGAGCTGCGGACGCGGGATTTATCGAGTGTGTGAGGCGGTTTGTGTTGTGAGCTTTGACCGTTTCTTTCCTTTAATGCTGACAAATTCTTTTACATATCTTTTTGGTTTTTTTGGGCCCACGTGAAGCTTGTATACACATGTATACTACATCCCTAACATTTTTTTCTCTTTTACCTTATGTCAAATCGTTGCAAATAATATGAAACGGAGGTAGTATATGTCAACCATCAAGAAAGTAGTCCGATTGAATTTCCATTCGTTCACTATTAATATTATTGTTATTCATTCACCATTATTTTTTCATCCGATTATTTTTATTCTTGGTGGAAATATAAAAAATAAAATAAAAACCCTAAACACAAATACACACAAAAAAAAACTTATCCTTTGAGATCTGAACAGTTCTTGAGCAATTCCAACCTTCGAGTTCGGGTACAAGAATTACGGAGGTCATGTGTAAATTTTGGAGGGTGTGCGTCACTAGGATATTTGTACCGGTGGTGGCGTATTTCGCTTTTAAGACAGTGGGTCCTAAACCACGGCACAGAGGACAGGTCATTGATCAGGAAAGTACTTTAATTAATTATAGTCTTTGATTTCAATAGGTAATTTTTCCAACAAAAACACCTTTAATTTGTCTTTTTAACCTTTTATCACTAGTCACTGTTCTTTATAGATTCCAATTGTTCACATGGCCGTAGGTGGGGAGTGTGCAAGTTTTTCTGTTTCCTCTTTCAATTTTCTCTGATTGCTCAAAATTTTCAGGTTTATGTTGCATTTTAATCTTAGTGAATATATGATTGAATAATTTTAAGTTTACAATTATTTTCTTCCAGCAACCCTAGCAAGTCGCCTTACCCTTTATAGCGGGTTACCATTCACGTAGCATTTCTTAATTGGTCAATTTTTTTTAATATAAAAAAATATTTTTAATTAAAAATAAAAACAATAAAAAAAAAATTACTTCTCCTTTCCCCTTCCTAGTTCCTACCCGTTTCTCTCTCCTCTCCCTTCCTCCATCATCACCACCTAAACCACTCACCACCATCTACTGTACCACCACCTACAACCACCTCAACACCACCAATATCACCACTCAACACAACATCCATCCACTACCAACCCACAATTCAACCGTAAACAACACCCACAACATCAACGACCACCCACAACATCAACAATATACGACCACAACCAATTCAATCCCCAAATTAAACTGGAAAACAGAGAGAAGAGAAGGACAATGGTGCGGGTTGGGGTTTCGTTTTCCGGGTAGATGGGCTACTGGGGTTGGGTTTCGGGTTTTGGGTGGGACAGGGTTTAATGGTTTCAGCTAGGTGAGGTTGGTGGTTCGAGTATGGGTAGGAGTGGAGGAAAGGTTTCGGGTCTGGGTTTGGTTGTGGTGGGCTAAGTGGTGGCGGGGGTTGTGGTGGCAGTAAAGGGAGTAGCACGTGGTGGGTTGTTTGATGGAGAGAGGAGAGGGTAGTGGGCGGGCTAGTTGACGCCTTGACGGGGTAGGTTGATTGTGATGTGAGGTGGTGGCGGGAAGGTTCAGGAAGGTGAGGGAGCCATTGTTAAAGGCTGAAAGCTTGAAATGGAGGTGAAGAGGGAAGAAGGAAGAAGAGAGGGAAAAAATTAAGGGAAAAAAAAAATTACCAGGTAACCAGTCAAATAGGATTGCTAGAAGAAAATATATAGTAAACTTAGGATTATTGAAGGTTAATTGAAAGGTTGGATTATTCTGGGAGAACGGTGCAAAGGTTGGATAATTCTCGTGAAATTTTCCTTTTCTGAATTCCTTGACTTTGGTAATGTTGTCTTTGTATTAAGATGGTTCAAGCCCTTATTTGTTCACAAGATTGGTTAAGAGCAAAGGGATTACCAATTATTGATGTGGAGGAAACTTTAAAAGAGTTAGAGGAAATTGAGAAAGGTAATTATGTTATTTAGCACTTTTACTTATTTTTTTTAGGAAATTTTGTGTAAAACTACCCTAAAGATATGTTGACTTGTCAACAACTACCCGTTTTAAAAAATATTATTTAAAACTACCCATAAGATGACAAATGTTTGTCTAGCATTACCCATAAACGGTTTCCGTCCAATTGAGCCGTTGGTGGGATCCACTCCTACATTTTCCCACTCAATTCTCTCCTCCTTCATTACTTTCCCTCTAAATCACTAAATTAGAAGATGTTTTAAGCTATCGTATCAATTCTTGGTATACTTAATTGGTTTAGGGTTCTTAATTTACTTCAATTAACATAATCAGGGATTCAATTCAGGGTTTAGGGCTTCAATTCAGTTTGGGATTTTAACTTCTAGGGTTTATGGTTTGAATTGAATTAGGGGTTTTCTTATTTCGTTAATTAAAAATTTAGGGTTCTAATTTGAGCAATAAAAATTAGGGTTTCCACAAGTTCAACAATTTATAATTCAAAAGCCACGAATTTCACATTAATTACTACATTTTACCTCGTTCATCCTTGTTTTTGTTTAGTATTTTTCAGCATTTACTTTGCCCTTTCCTTTAACCATTGATAGTTTCACCCTCTGACATGTAATTAGCCAAAGAAACAAGAAGATGAAGAGAAAAGAGAAAGGCAACAAAGGAAAAGGGTTATAGGCCTTGTTAATTTTCCAACATGGGGATGAATTTGGAGTTTTACTTAGGTTAGTTTAAGATGGTGAATGGTGGAAGGTAAAAGAAGAGGGGTGAAAATGGAGGGAAAGTATAAAGAAGACAGAGATAGTTGAGGAGGGGAGTTGTTTGGGTGGGAATCCGTAAAGGGGCCCCACAAATGGCTCAATTGAACGGAAACCGTTAATGGGTAGTGTTAGACAAACTTTTGCGATCTTATGGGTAACTCTAAACAATATTTTTGAAAACGGCTAGTTGTTCACAAAATGATCTATATTTAAGGTATTTCTACACAAAATTTCCTTTTTTTATTATTACTTATTAATTATTAATACAATCTATTTTCGTTTTGATTTAGATATGCAATGTGGCGATGTAGACAATGAAGTCATTTTTGTAGACTTGTTGGTTTGAAGCACGTGGTTGAAGGTTTGAAGCGCGTGATTAAAGGGAGATAAGGGATTAAGCATACTAATATAATCAATTTTCGACTTTATATAATTGTTAAGTATGGTTTATACTATGTTTTGACGTATATAATAAGTAGATAACTATGTATTGTAATGAAAAAAAAGGTCAAAAGTTTGTGCAAAAGAAGGTATGAAACAAGTCCAAAAACAGGTGCTGAAACAGGTGCTGAAACAGGTCCAAAAACAAGTTCAAACACAGGTCCAAAGTAGGCCATAAAAGAAAGAAAAGAAAACAGGTCCAAACCTAAACCGGGCCTGAATTTTCAAGTCTGGACCGGAACTGGACCGGTTGAAACAGGTCCATCACAGGTTAATTATAGGTCCAATCCGGTCTAGTTCCAAACCAGTCCCGATCCGGTCCGGGTCTGGACCGGTGTTCACCCCTTACTGGTCATAGGCAATTGCACAGGACCCCAAGAAATAAAAGGCCAAAATTGTAAAGCACTTTTTCTGTTAAAAAAAAATATTTACGCTTATCATATTCGTTAACATACTAAACACTTACTCCCTCCGTTTTTAAAAACTTGCTCCACTTTCCATTTGCGGCCGTTTTTAAATACTTGCTTCATTTCCTTATTTGGAAAACTTTTACAATATTTAATCAATTTCTCTCACCTAGTGGTCCCAACATATATTCTCTCTTTTCCAATTCTCTCCACTACTTTTGTTTTCTTTAATTTTTTTATTCTTCCACCAACCCCATTACCTCCATATTTTAAATGGAGCATGTATTTAAAAACGGAGGGAGTAATACCTATATCACTCGGACTCTTCATTTAGCTTCAAGTACTCGTGTCATATCCTCGATACCTAGAAATGCATATGACACTTAAACATTTCTTTAGAATTTATTTCACAAAATAGCCTGATCAGACACTCGGACACATATCCGTGTCAAACATGGGTACCCGAGTCCGAGTAAGGTAGTTTAACACAATAACTCATTGAGTCATTGATCATTAATACTACCTCCGTTACAGGTTATGTGCAACGATTTGACATAAAGCAGAGAGGGAAAATGTTTAATCGTTGCACATAACCTGTAACGGGGGTAGTACAATAACTCTTTGTCACTTTCTAAAGCCTAGAAAACGGAAAGAAAAAGGTAAAGTATATCAAAAGAAGGAGAGGATCAGCCAGCAAAAATATTCATTATACGTTGTACTTTGTATTGAATAAGAATATATACAAAGAGTAAAAGCATATGTACAATGTAATATGTATGTTGCAAAATATACATAATTTTTCTGTATGCTGTATCTGAAACTGAGTGTTTGTATAACAAGTAATCAACTCAAAAACTCATAAGAGAGATTCAGCAAGTTAAGTTTTCATCACCTCTTTAACTGATCATCTTGGATGATTAGCATTCAATTTGCCTAGTGTTACACTTTCAAAGGGCTCAGAGAGGTAATTGTGTGTCCGAGCAGATAGTTCTTGTGCAACATAACGCATTGTAGGCCGCGAATTTGGCTCTGTACTGGTGCATAATAGAGCTAATGTGACTGCAGTTACCACTTCCTCTGCTGTATGTCCTGTAGGTGGTGAGAGACTTTGGTCTAAAATGTCTTTCAGTAGTGCTTCGCGCTTCTCAGCTACAGAAGATAATGAGGTTAGAAGTTCTCCTGGATGCTTACCCATCATAACTTCTAATGACACCACTCCATAGCTATAAACATCACACTTTTCGGTCACTTTCATTGTTAGAGCCAACTCTGCAAAGGGGAAACAATGATAAGATGATTTATGTCAGATGCAGGAACATGTTCAACCACAAAAAACTAGATTTCCAAGAACAAAATTACCAAACACCGAACATATATGACTAATATGATACATAATCTTTAGAGGCTTATGTTAATAAATGTCAAATGCAGAAATATGACCAAATATGAAATACAAATTCTATAGTGAAGGTTAAAATCTTCATAAGTTTTCGTGTATCAATATCAAGTGCACATAATGATCATGTGTAAACCGATATTACCTAGACTGAACAGATTAATAGATTATGCTAGCTACATATGAAAAAGGTGATCTTAAGAAATTTCACCTAAAGAATCTAATATTAGGATTGATAGAATTTGAAAAATCAATGAATATGGAAGACAAGCTTGAGACTTACCAGGGGCCATATATCCATAAGAACCAGCAACTGTGGTCCAGCTAGATGCATCTGTGCTGAGAATCTTTGCTGTGCCAAAATCTGATAGTCGAGGCTCAAATTCATCATCAAGCAAGACATTGTTTATGGATATGTCACGGTGAACAATAGGTGGGGTGCAATCATGGTGCAAATAAGCGACTGCATGTGCTAACCCTCTTACGGTATTCACTCTTCTTTCCCACCCTAGTCCTTCTTTGGCTTCTTTACTGTACAACACATTCCCCAAACTGCCGCGTTCAACATAGTCATAGACCAAATACATAGAGCCCTTTCTAGAGCAATAACCATATAACTTGATTATATTCCGGTGTCTAACCTCAGTCAATGCCCTTATCTCATTCTCGAAGCTTTTTTTATTTGCCAAGGGGATGTCACTAGAATCTGACATGTTGAGCTTCTTGACAGCAACCAGCTGACCTGACATCAAAGATGCCCTATATACACTGCCAAAACCACCTTTCCCAATGCAGTAAAATTCACTGAAGTCATCAGTGGCCTTGACAATTTCTCGGAAGGTAAACCTTCCTTCTGTCCCCCATATCAAAGACTCTGAATCGCTTGTATCTGAAAAAGTTTTGCTCTCCATATCTCTCTGTTTGATCTTTCTGCAACATAAACATAATGCAACTACACAAACTGCAAGGAGAAGAAGGGAGGCAATTGGTACCACAACAGCAATAACAACTTTTTTGTGGTTGTTGTGAGACTTGATGCGGTCACAGGTGGGTATTCCTGTTGCATTCCCACAAAGGCCAGAATTTCCCATGTACAGCCCATTTTGGAAAAATCTTGCACTGGGGACTGAACCTGACAAGTTGTTGTAGGATAAATCGAGAGATTGTAAGCTAAGCATGTTCGATAGTGATGGTGGGACTGCCCCTGAGAGAGAGTTGTGGGAGAGATTGAGTTTCTCCAAGGAAGTGAGCTTGTCAAGGTCTTGAGGGATTGGGCCAGAAAGAGAGTTGCTGCTCAAATCCAACATAACTTGAATTTCATCCAAGTTGCTGAGCTCTTCTGGTATGTTTCCTGATAAGCGATTCTGATTCAACTTCAAGCTCAGTATACTACCACAATCCCCAAGCTCTAGAGGGATTTCCCCTGACAGATTATTTGCTGATAAATCAAGATACTGAAGATTCTGCAGCTTGCCAATGCTTTTCGGAATATCTCCCTCCAAGTGATTCCCGCTCATATTAAGGTTGATCAACAAACTTAAATTTCCCAATTCAGCAGGTATTGTCCCACTTAGTTCATTTGAATCAAGAGTTAGAACACGCAAATTATGCAGCTTCTGAAGCTCTGCTGGTATTGCCCCTGAAAGATTGTTACTGTCAAACTGGAAGTTTGTCAGATTTCCACATTCTCCCCACTTGGGTGAGATCTCACCAACAAACTGATTTTTGCTTAGGCTGATGAAAGTGAGATTTGGGTATACACCGAATGCTTCTGATATATTCCCATTGAACTGATTTCCATCCATACGGACTCTAGTTAACCCTGTGCAATTCCTCAAACAATCAGGAACCTTGCCAGTGAAGTTGTTGCCGTTAACTGTTAAGAGCTCAAGCTTGAATCCACTGCACAACCTAGAAGGCAATTCCCCAGAGAAACTGTTGTTTGAAAAGCTAACATTGGTAAGAGAAAGGCTATGTTCACCAAAATTTTGTGGGATTTCCCCTGTTAAATTGTTGGTGAACACAGAAAAAATTTGTAAATTTGTGAGGTGTGATAAGGATTCAGGTAACTCGCCATAGAGTTGATTAGAATTAATATCAAGAACAGTCAACGACGTGAGATTCCCCATCTCTGGTGGGATTCTTCCAGTGAGATTGTTAGAGAATAGTTGTAAGGTTGAGAGGTTGCCTAAGTTTCCAATGGTTAAAGGAATTGATCCTGAAAGTTGGTTTGTCGAAAAATCAAGATCTACCAGGTTGTTCAGTTTACCTATCTCTGAGGGTATAGTACCAGTGAAACTGTTATTGTAAAGGAAAAGAACCTGAAGTTTTGACAGTTGACCTAGTTCTGGTGAGACAATCCCACTGAAATTATTGTTCTGAATTTGCAAGGAAACCAACTCGGTCCAATTGCTAAGGAAATAAGGGGAGATTTCACCAGACAGAATGTTTTCAGATAAACCAAGAGCTGATATTTTCCTAAGATTGCTCAAGGATAATGGCAATTCTCCAGCAAGTGAATTCCCAGCAGCAGCAAAAAAAGTAAGGTTTGTACATAAGCCAAGCTCAGAGGGAATACTAGAGTTCAATCTGTTCGAATGAACATCGAATTTCTCTAGGTTCCTAAGTTGGCCAATGGGAGAAGGAATGCTACCAGAAAGAACATTACTATGCAGCTCAATAACTTTGAGTCCAGAGATCAAACCGATATCATCAGGGATTGTACCAGAAAGCTGGTTCGAACCCAAATGAAGCTCAGTTAGACTTGATAACTTGGAAATGTTGGTTGATATTGATCCACTGAATGAGTTATTAGTAAGATCAAGGTACTGAAGATTTGGAAGACTAGTAAAAAGAGAAACTGGGATCAACCCAGTTAAATAGTTAAAGGACATGTCAAGGTAAGTCAAGTTCCTGCTCCTAAAAATGAACCTAGGAAACTCCCCAGTTAACTCATTAAGCCCAAAACTCAAGTGGGTTAACAAAGGCATAGGACTAAACATAGACCAATCAGGAGTTTCAAGATAATTAGCTCCAATATCTAACAACCTTAACCTCCCCAAACTACTAAGTTCAACAGGAATACTATTGTTCAGGTTATTATTAGACAGATTAAGATACACAAGTTCTGACAATCGACCGACATCTTGAGGAATAAACCCATCAAAGTAATTGGTGCTAAGATCCAAGTAAGTAAGCTTAGAAAGATTACCAACAGTTAATGGGATTTGACCTTCAAGATTGTTGCTGTCAAGAACCAAACTTTCTAAATTTGGAAATGCACTGAAATTGAAGCTGCTGAGACTCCCAGAAAGATCTTGACTGCTTAAACTGATGTTTCTGACAGAAGTTACATTGTTACAGACTATGCCAGTCCAATTACAGAGGTTTTGTGCATCTGAAAGTCTCCATGAAAGAAGAGAATCAGGTACAGGAGATAAGGAATTTTTCCACCTAATAAGTGCTTGTGCTTCAGTCAATGTTGCTTCTGAAATTGAACCAAAATTCAGTGCTAAAAATATGAAAGAAATCAGAAATATTTTGTGACCCATTTGAAGAAACAAAAGAAAAAGATATGAGTTGTTTGTTTTCCTTATATTTGGTACAAATAAATTCTGGTTTTGAATTTAAAGATGAATATAGAATAGTATTCAATTATTCATGCATGTTCATTTTGACTGATGTAATCTTTATATATTATAATAGGGAATGGTCAACTATGCATTGTATAATAGATGAATTTATTATGTTCATATGGACCTTGAATTGCTGAAATATCTAGCTGTGTAATAATTTAAATAATGTCAAGTTGCAATTTTCTATGACTATTTCTTCTTTTGGATTATGTTCAGCCCCTTGTATAAAAAGATTAGTATAAACCTGTTTTAATCTAGATCTATAAGATTTTGGAATGTTGGCTTATGCCATTTAAGACTTGTTTTGCTACTTGGTATTTACATTTCGAACCATATCACTTCTTGACACTTCTTAAAGAACCAAAACTTCATCTGGCATAAGCCATCAACGTCTTTCGACTCGTGCTAATAACTTCAACTCTGTTTTTCACGGTCACATCATTTCATAAAGTAATATCCCGTGTTACTTAAACTCTATTTTTCAATAATGGTCACATCTTTTCATAAAATAATATCCCGTGTTACTTTGTATTTTTACTAAAAAAAAAATTCTACATTATATATCTTAAGATTAAATCACTAAATATAATAATGTATAAAAATAAAATAAAATAAAATCTCAAAAGATGTTCTTATTTTACCATACATATTCAAACCGTCAATTCAAGAAGAGAGGATCTTATACTTGATAATTTAATACAACCAAAATTGATTCGTATGAAACTATAAACCATCAACCAAATTTCATGGCATTATAAGTTCAAAATCATGTCTTTTTTCTACTATGATTATTGTTTGACATTTGAGCCGGAATAATTTGAGCCAAGTTGATGTTACACCCAAAAAAAAGTCATTCTTTTTACCAAAAAAGGATTTACAATTTAATTATACTATGAAGAATAGCTGGTTGGATAAGACTTGTGAGGACAAAATAGTCTTCAAAAGTTAACAAGCGGCAGCCATATTAACAACAGAGCACCTCATGTTCATACATAAATAGATCTCAAAGTCAGAGGATATTAAATTGATGAACACTCCTTAGACCCGTATTTAACCACAAGTACTCGTGTTGGACCCTCAACACTTCGAAGTGCATGTTGGAAGGGAAAGCTGCAATCAATTATCATTGTTTACGAGTGTCAAAACATCCCTCACAAGTCACAACTACGTCTAAGTGTTCTAGCTATACCCTCATCTCCAGAAACCTAGAACTTGAAAAGAAAAAGAATTACTCCGTATATAACAACCAATCTAATGCGTAGACCAAATGTATCTGTGTCAACTCTACCCAAGTTCGAATACTATAGAAACAGTCACTACAGATCATTAAAGAGGATTATACAGTTATACAGCAACAGCAAACAAAAAAAAATTGAAGAAAAAAATGATTAAACAAGACTCTACATTATTGACTATATTAACAAACCAATGAAGAATTACAACCAGCTATAGGCCTATTTACCACTCCACACACACACACACACACAGTGGTAAATGACAACCTCAGCAAAATTCACAGTATGATGTATTTGCAGCATATATATATATCACAAAGCAAGAGGAACAAATGAAGAAAATCAACACATTTTCAAGGATATCAGTATTTCACATATACTTTCCCGTCCCAATAGGAAACCATATACGCTCTATAAACACACACGACGGCTAGCATGACTCTCAGCAGCACCTTTGTTCAAAGCTCTCTCCAGCCTAGTTTCGAAAGGAGTAGAATGCCAATTCACCCTGTTATCCTGCAATATTGTAGAATCCATCAGTACCCTGGGAATTTTTTCATGGGCAAAACAGATCCCGTAAGCTCATTACATGTATACCTCTCTATATTTGCTAGTAGTATTTGGTATCCCTTTAAACGAAGAGACAGAACCATAGTCTTCAACAGGGGTTCTATCATTCCAGTGCACCCCAACGGTGCCAAGTAATGGCCTTTCATCTGGGCTTCGACTAGGTGATTTTCTTGGGGAAGAAGTGGCAGATAATTGCTTAAGCTCTTCAATTGTTAAGGCGCCCAAAATGGGCCTTTCCTCCTGACTTCTCACAGAATTAGAACCATGTGAAGATGCACTTGCCCCAGATGATATTGGCTCCATGTTTATGGGTACAGCGTTGCCAGGTGGTGTTTTCTGAGAGGAAACTATCCATGTAGATAGGCTGGCATCAACTGCTACTTCATGTTTAGGCTCATCTGATATTGCTTTAGACTTTAGTGAAGATTGTTGAAAACTTAGATCCACTAGACAATTCTCCTTCTGCTCTTCTATGAGCTGTGGTCCTTTAACTTTTACATATTTCCATTGAGCTGTGTTCTCAACAGGATTTAACACTGAATGAACATAGCCAGCCCTGTCTCGAGCACCACGGTTGAACACTACAGGAGTTACAGCTCCTCTCTCCAGAGAATCATGATCCATATAATCATTGTGCCCATCATCGACAAAGCACGTCCCAGAACTTTTAGTCCTTGATTCCACAGACGAACAAGAAAAGTCTTGGACTTCTCTCAGATGGTACTCATCATCACTGTATTCATCATCATAGACCTCATCATCTTCACCTTCATCTTCATCTTCATCGTCATCCAAATCACTTACTTGACAGTCAAGTTCTTCATCTTCATCATCACTTTCTCTACAATTTTGATACCTGTGATTTGGTGGGAATGACCCCAAACTGGACAAAGTCGAACTACCTTCAGACACTGAAGATGATTTGGTTGGTTTCATACTACATTCATCAACCACATTCTCACCTCCCATTTCACTCTCAACCATATTCTCTGGTGGCTCAGCATAGGGTATATGCTCATATTCTTTAACATTTGAATCAAAGGTGACTCTCTTTCGTGTACCTGAACTCAATTGTTCCTCTGGACTTACATTTGCATCGAACGTGACTTTCTTTCGTATACCAGAACTCAATTGTTCCTCTGGCTTTACACTTAAGTCCAAGCTGACTTTGTTTACTGTCTCCAAACTCAACTGTTCCTCCGGCTTAACATTTGAATCAAAGCTGACTTTCTTTTGTGACCCTGAACTCGACTGTTCCTCTGGCTTAAGATCTGAATCGAAGGTGACTTTCTTTTGCGACCCTGAACTCAACTGTTCCTCTGGCTTAACATCTGAATCGAAGGTGACTTTCTTTCGTGACCCCAAACTCAAATGCTCCTCGGGCTTAACATCTGAATCGAAAGTAACTTTCTTATGTATCCCCAAGCTCAATTGATGATCCTCTAGCTTATTCCTATATACAATAACCCACAAAACCTAATTAAAACACTGCAAACCCAACAATACCAAGGAATAAAACCGAAATCAGTATCATTTCAGAACAAATTGTGGGGGAAAAAACAGAGAACTACCCAAAAACTTACTTATCAGTTAAGCTGATTTGTTCCTTCGCCACTACCTTAACACTACAGAACATCAAAACAGCACACAATCATAATCAAAAAACCATAATTGCAAATTAACAACAAAATCACTAGTAAAATACAGACAGCAACTAGACATAAAATTAGTTAAACCCACAAAAAATGTACTAACACAATTTTTCCCCCTTCCCCAATACAATTTTTTTTAAAAAAAAGTACAATTCAAAAAAACCCTAATATGATACAGAAACCCTTTACAAAATTGAGCCAAAATACTGACAAGAAGGTGAAATTCAAGTAACAAAATTAAGCGAACATGATAAAAAAAAAAAAAAAAAAAAAAAAAAAAAAAAAAAAAAAAGAGGGGAATACTCACCAAGATTTAGGAACTTGAAGATCAATTGGGTTGTCAAAAAATTCTCGATTAGGAAATGAATTGGGAGTAGGATAAACAGGATTATACTGATTTCGAACATCCTACAACAAACAAAGAAAATAAATCAAAAAATCAACAACAAAAATAAATTATAAATAAAGATCAAAAGAAATTCGACAAATTATAAAGAGTGAGCTTACAAACCTGAGTAGGTGGGTTTTGATGAGAAACGAAATGGGTATTTTTCCGACGCTTTGATTCATCCTTGGAAGAACCAAAACACCCAAGAAAACAACCCATTGTAAGAAAACACAGTGAAAAAGATGATCGAAAGAAAAGCGACGAAATTGAGTTTTCAGAGAAAATTTTTTGGGTTAAATGAGAACTTTCATGGTTTGAAAAGATTCAGACAAGAATTGGGGAGGAGAGAGAAAATGGAGGAGCGTTTCATGAACAGAAAAAAGGGGAAAAGGGGGAAAACGGTAAACGAAGATTGGTGGGGAAGAAGGTGTTTGTTTGGTTAGGGTTTATGTGATTGAATTTGGGGAAAAGGAAATGACCGTTGGGAATTGGGTTAGTGGAGGGAGGAAGTGTTTTTGAAAGCGTGTTTGTTATTCTTGGTGGGGTCATCAGAAAGTTGTTTTCTTGCAATGGAGTATTTTGATTGTTAATTAGATTAATCCTAGATTTAGGGATTTTGTTTTAAAAAAAATAAAAATGCAAAATTTTGATTATCTTTAGATAGAGCATTTTGATTATTATCGACACGACAGGTAATATGACCCGAACCGATTCTATACATAATTTATTGAGAGAGAACCCAATTCCTATTAAAAATTGACTTGATTTGTTCCATTTATCATATTTTATAATGACTTAGAGGAATGAGAATGAAGGACAATTAACCTTTTTTTTAAAAAAAAAAAAAAATGAGGCTACAAAACCCTCCAAAAGGAAAAATTGTAGAAGGAACCAGAAAACTCTCTTAATCAATAAAAAAAAAATTAATAATAATAAAAACTAGAGGGAACTCCTCATAAACACTCTGTTAATTTGTTTGTTGTTGATTTATTTTCAACCCTATGGTTATTTTTGTTGCTTAAACATTATGCTATATTGATATGAAATTTCAAGAACACAAAAAAAATCAAGGTGTTTAATTGTTTACAAGTGCACTTAAAATTTGTGAATTTTGATGGGTTTGTCGTCCTAATTATATAAAAAAAAATATCCTGATAACTCAAGTCTTTTTTATAGTAATAAGGAAAGCAAAGGTCGAGGCTACAATAATCGAGGGTTAATTAAGTGGCCTGCCTAATAATATATGAGCCATTGTTTCAAGCTAGGCTTCACTTTTATCCAATAATCAATTGATTGATTGGATACAAACTGGCTTAATAATATAACATAGATATAATAATGAACCATGGCAATCAATCCCCTCTAGACTATTGGTCTCACGAGATTTGGTCAAAGGAGTATGTAAGTGAACATGATATAATGAATAGAGTACTCAGCTCGACCATGCATAAGGATAGCAAATAACAAACTCGTACCATTTATTTAATTTGGTGAGTTTATACGGTTAGTAAGAAAGATAATAATATAATATAGAGAAAAGCAAACATTAGATGTCATATACAGTATAAAGTATTAATGCATCAAATTAATTTTGAAAACGTGAAATTTTGCATTGGGAGTAAGTAAATATTTTTGCCTGAGTCATGAGTGTCGATAGAAAATGAGAATCCTTTGCTATATAAAAGATGAGAGAATAAGAAGAAAAACAGAGTTAAAGGAGTAAGCTAAAACATTTCTCTGAAAACATTAGAGAGTCATCTGGAGAAAAATACTCTCCTTAAGAGACATATATGTTCTCCATTTCTCTTAAAGTAAAGAAATTCTAATTTAGTTCATGTCTGTTTAAGCTTTCAATTTGTGCATTGTAAGATATGAGTGTCGTAATCTTTCCTTATTAAATAAAAAGTTTTCTTTCAAGAGGGAACACTATCCTCTGGAACCTTTATATCTCAAATGAATTACTTTGTTGTTTAAAAGTTCATCATAAACACAAAATAACTTGTTTAAGTAGAAAATACGGTCTAAGGTAGAACACAAATTAGATCCGTGTTGAGCTTGATATAAGGAAGACAGGGTTATGGTTAGCTATCTTGGGAAAGTCGGAAGCTGAAGGACGCTATAGGTTCCATTGCTAACTAAGTTCAAGTATTGGTCAAAACTTTCTTAGTAAACAGTTATTATTGCGAATCATGGTGGACATTAACCTTGAAAAGAGGATTCATTATGGTATATAAGTAGTAAGTAGAGTAAAGATAACTAGTACCATAAAAATGAATTTATGTTGATTAAACGCTAAAAACAATTTTGTCAATACTAGTTCAAATATTGCCTTGATAATATTTATCTTGTCACTGTTAGTATTAGGGTTTGTTCTCATAGACTGAACTCAGGTGAACTGAACTAAGTTGAACTGAACTGAAATAAATATTTTATAAGAGAAGGAAATTAGGATTTGAACTGAAAATAAACGTATGAGAACATGCCCTTAGTATTGTCATCTGCTCACATATAGTATCACAAAAAGACGAAAGGCTATGGACAAAAGTGTGCTCGTCCGTGCACCGTGCTGGGTCGAGCCTGATTTTTTTTTTTGCAACTAACCACTATTCCATGAGCAAAATCTTGAAGGTTAAGGTCTATAAACACATTGAGAGACTAAATCCAAGCCTTTTGTATCTTATCTTATTAATTAAGGGCATGTTTTTTGGCTTAAAAATTGACTTGGCGTTTTAGCTAATGCTCGACTTGGCTAGTTGGCTCCGCTCACAAAAGTTACAATCACCTCAAATACTTTGTATTGAGCAATCAATTTGAAATACGGAGTACTATCCTTCCCCCTTTATATGATCTTCCCATTTCATAATTACAAAGATTAATAGTTCTCATCTAAAAATTATCCCATGGTTAGAAAGTTCCAATCAATTTTCCTCTATTTTCTTAAATGTGTCAAAATTTATTACTTGGCCATTGTCACTATTCCATACAATTTTTTTCCTTTGTTTTATTCCAATTTAAAATCATTATTCTCCTTTTCCCAATCGCAAAATAATTAATTTCTTTGTCCTTCTTTTTTTTGTTTTATAATATTCATTTGTTATGAAAAACAAGATTATTAATGCACTTCGATCCATCCGTTCCCAAAATACATCCGCTCTCAAAAGAAGGTTACGTTTGGTGTTTTTTTTACCCTTAGTAAGGAAAATAAGATAGTGGAAAACAAGCATTGAATTAAATTTAAAAGTTGGAATATTTGTATCGTGAGTAGGTAATTTTTTTTGTAAATAAGAATAGTTGCATTGGGAATATGTAAATATTTTGATAAATGGGGATGATTTGCATGGAAAATAAAATAATTATTTAATTTAAAAAATAATTAAAACGCACTCCGTAACTATTAACCGGTATCATTTTATGAAGTACATGGGTCTGTTATGTTATGTTCACTTATTTTAGGTGTAATAAGTTCAGTTCAAGTTTAATAAGTTTTGATAAGAGTTACCCATGTACAATTATAACTAAAATAAGTTCTGATAAGTTTTAATAAGTTAAGATAAGCTCAGGTAAGTTAAGATCAGTGAAAATAAGGTGAATTAAACACATTTATTGTTTTTTTCTCATGAATATTCATTTTTTTTTTTGTATAAATTTACTTTTGATTCCAATTGCAGTAATAAGAAATTAAGAATAAATAGCCTCACCTAGTGTTTAACGTTAATAGTACCAAGGTTCAAATTACCAAGTTTCAGACCAAAAAATTGGCACCAAACTTTTGAAAATTTCAGATTAATTTGTTCCAAAATTTCCCGGCAAAATTTGCAATCGTTGAAAATAATTGGCGGGATTTTGTATAATCCATGAAATAAAAAACGACCCTAAAATACCATCCTTCTTCATTCACCATTAACCCTCGTTTCTCTCTCTAACTTCCCTTTCTCTCTCTACCTCATTCTCACCTTTTTTTTTTGCTCAACAATGGCGGAATCTCAAGCTCGCAATGCTCATTTTCTCAATCCTTGGGCTCTTCATCTTCAAAAATTAGGGCTTGAATTAAAATGCTCTCTTTGGTATTTTCCCCCTTTCCATTTCTATCTATCTTTTTTTTTTGTATTTTTCTGTATTTTGAATTTGAAAGTTTTCCAGATTTTGATGAGTTTTTTGTTAATTTTGGCAGCTTGAAGGAGTATAATAAACCAATGTTGTTACCTTGTGACCACATTTTCTGCAGGTAATTTGTGCTTTTTTTTAAGAAAAAAAAAATTTCTATTTACCCTTTTTAGTATGATGTTGAATCTATGAAATGTCTTGATTTTTGGTGTTAATTGAAGGTAAATTGATCTGGGTTTTTCAATTAATTGCAGTTCTTGTGTACCCAAATCGAATTTATTTGGTTTAGATTGCCCCCTTTGCAAAGTACCCTATGTTGAACAAGGTAATTTTTATCAACTTTATTTATTCTCCCAAATTTGTTAATTAAATGTATATTTTCTGCTATTGCTCGATGTATTATGATTATTTTGCTAATTAGCAAAAGGGTTTGTTTTATAATTATCTTTTTGTTCGTATGAAAAATATCTTGTATAAATGAACAAGCTTTATCTCTAATACTAGCTTAGATTACCCTTGTTTTGTTGTTCTATCTTTAAACATGGGTGAAAATGTTAACATCAATTGCAGATCTAAGGCGAGCGCCTTTTATTGAAAATGTGGTGAGCATCTACAAGAGTATGGATGCATCTTTCTCTACTCATATGCTTAATTCAGGTATATGTTATACTAACTAAACTTTTATTTTTGATTTTTGTTCGAGGTCTAGTGGTTTAGTCACTTATCCATATATTGTATATTGCTTCTTACAACGCCCTTGTTCTTTGTTTTTAGATTCCAGAAGGGGTAATACAAAATTTTCCAATCAGGTCAAAAGACAGATTGAATCCTCTCCACCGGGGAACTCAAATAGCGGTACATGTGGGAATATGGAGCAATATGAGGCTGTTGATGTGGAAATGAATCAGATGGAGTCGTCTCCGGACAGTCCTCCATCCTCTGATGTTAGCAAGGGCGTCGATGCTAACTGTCGTGAGCCAGGAAGCAGCTATGATGTGAGTTGTGTTGCTATACTAATTCCTTGATTTGTTGCATTTTGTTTATCAATATTGCTTGAAATGGCCTCTTGGTTGGGCCTTAATTGATTACAATGTTTTCAATAAATGATTAGTGTCCTGCATTGACACAATAGCATTTCTGCCTGTACTTTGGTCAACATTATTGCCTAAAATGGCTTATTTTCTGGCATTGATAAAGTACAATGCTTGCAATCAAAATTTTTTCAAGCTGTCCTGCATTGACAAAGTTTACCTGAATTAATAGCATTTCTTCTGCACATAATGGCCTCTTGTTGGGTATTGAAGGATTACAATGCACGCAATTGAATGATTTAAGCTGTGACATAGAATTTTTGTTGGTAGACTAATCATGCTTTCAGATATGTATTTTCTGGACTAAAAAACATATGCTGCATTCAAAATTACCAATTTTGGATAAAAACTAACCCAAATCCAACAGCATAATTGTTGGAAGAATGTAGTGCTTTTTGATAGTTTCTGTTATATTTTCAAATCTGCTGCTTCTCTGAGCTTTTTGAATGGTTAAACACTAATCAATCAGCAAGTGGACCTTCTGGTTTTAGAACCCAGTTATGCTATTATGTTGTCCTAAATTTTTCGTTTAACCCTACTTTAGGTATAGTACGTACATATTTATATGTATCAGTTGGATCCTGGTTCCTGGCCAGTGTCTAGCTGACTAGTTGCATATGTCCTTACAATACGGAGTACTTCATTTTTATTTACTTGTTTTGCAACTTTTTATGGTTGATTCTGAAAAATTATGCTTGCAGTCTGTAGGTAAATGTCCAACAAAGAAATCTGCCAAGAGAACTGCTGATGATTATGGAGTTCAAGAGAAAAGTAGTGATCAATTTGGAAAGAAGCAAAAGCAGCTACTAAGCCAAGGTCAGCCACAGAATTGCCAGGGTAGTATGACACCATCAACTGCCGAACTGCAAATTGCTGCTTCTGCTGGCTCTGACATGACCAACACTGGGAAAGATTCTAGCAACCAAGTAGTCATATATGATACTGCAAATTTAATTAATTATGTATGTGCATTTTGCCATACTTGGAAGACAACAGAGGTAACAATAATTATACTCTATATTATTGTGTCTTTGTTGATCTGATTGGTTCATTTTAGTTTCTATGTACAATGCTGTGTCATTGTGTGCGCAGTTGGAATTATCCACAATTATTTTAAACTCTATTATCTCTTGTAGGGTAGTGGACCAATGCAGCATTTTGATAATGAACGAGAAGTTTTTGGCAGTGAGGCTGGCCAATCTCATATAATGCATGTGCACCAAAGCTGCATAGAATGGTGGGTGATCTTATAAAACCATATGAATATATTTACTCATTACAGTAGTTGATTTATTTTCGACCAGAGGTTTCAAATTTATGTTTAACTGTCTGAACTTTAGCACCAATTCTTGACACATGTCTGCAAACCACTTCATGGGTTCTGAAGACTGAAGCAATAACCCTCAGGATGAATCTTGGCTTGGCATCCTGAGGGTTATTGCTTCAGTCTTCAGAACCCATATATGTTCAAGATGATTATGTGGTCACAATATAGCATTCCACTCATTACATGTTTAGTGGTCAAAACATTCTGATCTTGAAAGCTGAATAATCTCCCTAGATCTATTACTTGCTTAACTTTCCTAGAAGCTTATATTCCCCTCCCCCCTCTTGTAAAACTGTGGTTTGCTGATGCTCGATTTTTCACAGTGGCTTGATAATGATGCTTAGTCAATTAGGCATAAAAAACACGGTGTTTCTTATCACAGCTAAGATATGATCTTGGCTTAAATGTGTTCGAAGGAAAAAAAAAAAAAAACTTCTTAAGCAAGTGCTTTTGTTACTTTGTAGACCAGATTCTGAATCAAAATAATTTTACATAGATTGACATTTCCGTAATATCTGTAATTGCAGGGCACCTCAAATCTATTACGAGAATGACACTACAATGAAAAATTTAGATAAAGAACTTGCTAGAGCTGGAAAACTCAAGTGCACCAGCTGTGGGCTCAAGGGAGCTGCTCTTGGTTGTTTTGCGAAATCCTGTCGGAAAACTTATCATGTCCCTTGTGCATATGAGATTGCTGGATGCAGATGGGATATGGTGAGTTCTCATTGTATATATTACACAAAACCTATTTGTTCTAATTACATTGGCCATAAAGAGGGACTAATTAGTATTTCTGTTGGTTTAACAGGATAAATTTCTGATGCTTTGTCCTGCTCATGCTTCCCAAAAGTTCCCTGGCGAGAGGTTCAAAAAGCCTGTAGTGAAAAAGTGCTCATCAACTCAAATGTATGATATTTGGCCCTGAGCATTATTGATAAATTCTTTGGACTAAAATTAAGTACTTTTAAGATACATGAATTGACTAAGTGCAAGTTCTTGTCTGCACAACTCATGGGCAATGTAGTCTTCCTTGTCTATGGTCCTGAAGCCTACACTCAGCCACACAGTGTATAATATTATGCCGATAATAACAAAAAACATAAAACTTCCAAACTTGTTTGAACAACTATCTTTTAATGATTCTTAGTTTTCTAATTTTTCTCTCAAGATTCAATTTTAGCTTAATAATGAGCTCTTAGTGCTATTTTGTAACTTTTGAGTATTTTCTAATTAGTCATTTTTGACACCTGGTTTTCAGATCTATTGAGCAGAAAAGCGTATGTGACTTAGATTTTTGGGCTACATCACCTACTGGAGCCAAGAATTGGGTTCTATGTGGATCTGCCCTTTCTGCAGATGAAAAGGTTTGTGCTTATTAGTTATTAATGTATACAAACTCTTCTTCTTTCCCTTCATTGTTCCTTAAAGCTAATTGCTAACTGTCTACTGCACGTAAAAATTATTAGAGAGCAAGGAATTAGATGGTCCAAATCTATTGAGCTTCATGTTTTTTTTTGCTCACTTTTAATATTCCTTTGCATTATAATTTTGTAACATATTCTCTTATACCTATTCATGCAGTATAAGTTGGTGAAGTTTGCAAACTTATGTGGAGCAACAGTGACAAAGGCATGGACCCCAGATGTTACTCATGTTGTTGCAGCAACAGATGCAAATGGTGCTTGTAGTAGGACACTGAAAGTTCTCATGGCCATTCTTAATGGGAGATGGGTGCTTAATATTGATTGTAAGCTCTCTATTGCTCTAACATAGTTTATTGTCATAGTAAAACTTTTTCATTATGTATTTATAGCATGGCCAATGAAGCTTAGAGGACAATCTCGAACATGGATTATTGGGGTAATAGAAGTTTGATGCTTGTAATTATAAATGCTCTTAAGGTTTAATACCATACACCGGCAACTCCCATCATATGAAACTCGAAGAACTCTTGGGTCATTAATCTTATGTTAAAACTGTATTTGCATCTCCTAGAGATATGAACCAAAAAGAACACGCTTTAGTTTCTACATATCTCATAACAGTCCTCATTGGATGGTTTGTCTAGGGGTTGAAGCATGCATGCAATCAAAATGTCCTGTAGATGAAGCAACGTATGAAATTATCCTCGACAATCATGGCTGCTGTGATGGTCCCAAAACTGGCAGGCTCAGGGTTTTGAAAAATGTAAGTTCTCTTTGTTCTCAGATACTGTTATAACCTAGAGGATTACATTTCTTTTGAACCATGTACATGTTTGGTTTATTTAACTTGACCTGAAAAATACTATTTTCTTGCATATTACTGAATTTGACTTCAGAATATTACTTGTAAATTTCCAATGATCAAAATATCTAAGATTGTAGCCATAATCTGGTTAATTTCCATTCATACAAACAACAGTTTTACATATTTCAGCTCCACTTAAGCTATACTGTTCTGTTAACAGGCACCACAGCTTTTCAGCAGCTTGAGATTCTTTTTCATTGCCGGCTTTGTGGAAGCATACAAGAATGATCTGCAAAATCTGGTAAAAGCAGCAGGAGGTACTATCCTCAAGAGTGAAGAACAACTGCAACAATTTAACAATGAATCAAGTCATCCATCGACTACAATACTAGTTTATAATGATGATACAACAGGAGAGGTTAATGAGGTCTTGCAACAACAATTAATGGTACAGCAGCTAGCTCTAGAGAATGGTTCTCAGGTGATCGCTCATACATGGATTTTGGATTCGATTGCGTCAGGTGCATTGCAGCCCTTTGTTTAAAAATAAAAACTGAAAAGGAACATCTCTATTAATGTATAGGGTTTAGTATAGTACAAAAATATTTAGACTAAGTAAGTTATGGATGGGTCTTTGAGGTACGAGGGTTCTGTCCTCCCACTTAGAACTACAATAGCTTTGTAACTTGTAAGACAGCTAATAATTATTGATAGGTTATTGTTGTGCTAGTCGTTTTAGATGATCGAGTTTATGCAGATTGTTAATATAATTATATAATTGATCAGTATGGGATCATTCATTATCTTTTCTTCCTTGCTTTGAAATGAACACTTAGTATTACATTTTTAGACATCTGCTTGCCTCATTCTTAACATAAAAATGCTTCAGGTGCATTGCTGCTGCTGCTGCTGCTGCTGCTGCAGTGTACAGTGTAGTGATGTAGTCTGGTCTGGTGTCACCTATTTGTCAAAGCCTGTTAGTATCCAATTTAAAATAAAAAATTCAAGTACAAAATATGTTTTATTTTTGGTCTTGATTTATTAATCCTGTGTTTACTAAAAATAAAACACTATGCTATACAAGAAATAAAAAAAATAGATAGGAGATACTAAGGACCTATTTTAAATTGAACTGAGCTAAACTAAATTGTTTAAGAGAGAAGGAAATTAGGAACGGAACTGAATTGAAATTAAGATGAAGAGAACAACTATTAATTTATCTTTGTTCCCCCCTAAAAAAAAATGATTCATACTTGTTATAAATAAATTTTCGTTACATTTATACTTTTTCGAACCGATTCCATAAAAGAGAAAATATTGAGATAACATAAACATTAATTACATCAAACGATGTCTATCCGAGTGGTCTTGTTGATACCAAAGTTTTTGACTTTTTTGGCAAATTGGTTGAGTCACATGACACACATAATCCATGTCGTATTCAATTAAATGAAATGCTATGAAGATTAATTTTAGTTTTTTTTTTTACCCTTTTTAATATTCAATGCGTACAATTTACGGACTATCAACTTCTTTCTTTGAAAATTCTGTGATATAGAAAAGATAAATAAAGGTAGGATGACAATCAAAATTTTGTGAGCTAAATATTAGAGCAAATGTAAGAGAAAAAATACAATACTCTCAAATAAAAAAAATTAAAAAAAAATAAAAAAGAATGGAAAAAGAAAGTGGGAGAGTAAAATCAATCTTTGTTTATCCAATTAAATCATGTCGAGGAATTTCACTTTCTCAAGCACCCATCACCTCTACTGGTATTTTCTCTCTTTCTAATGTTTTTGATTGTTTATGATTACAATTAGTTTCATGAGTTTATGTTTAAATGTTTAATTATTACCAGAATTTTGTCTATTCTTGGAATTTTCTTTATATTTTGCATAAATTATGGATTGCGTAGATAATAATGTAGACGGGATTTAATCCGAGTTTTTGGATATGGAGTACTACCCTTTAGAGTTTAAGTGATTGTTTGGTTAGTATGAGAATTGGATTCTTTTGGAAGTTTTATATCATGGGAGATAATTTTTGTAATTGGAATTTTCTTTTAAGTTGTTTGGTTGATAATTTGATACGAACGGGGCGTTTGCTAGGTAGGGATGAGAGTATTAGGAGAGATTGTTATATACACACGGGTGAACGTACATCCATAAGCATTTTGTTCTCATCTTGGATTGTTCTTCATTTAATCATCAAATGAAGAGTAAAAACTAATTTGGGTTAGTTGGGTGTACGGTACATCGGGTGTGTATAAAATATTTCAGGGGAATAGAGGTTGGGATAAAGAATGAGGATTTGTTGTTGGGAATCCATGAAATAAGACCAATGTTGTGCTTGGTTGTAAATATTACGGAGTTGGAAGGAATGAGAATTTGTTGTTCGGAATTCATGAAATAAGACCTCTCGACTTCTCGAGGCAATGCATGACTTAATCAAGGTTTGATTAACACTCAAAATCGTACTGAAATTCATGTAAATTGGCTGCAAAATCCCAACAAGGTATTAACACCAGGAAGCAGCTCAACAGAATAAGTTTTGCTAAAAAAACGCTGATTAATTTAAGCCAGTAGCCAAGTATGCAGCCATCATAAACATATATTGTTACTTTACACTGTATTGTCCCTTTTGTCAGTAGGTTTAGGGCCTTAGTCACCTTTAGCGACCAAAAGGTGACCGAGACTTTGTCAATAGGAAGATACAAAGGAAGTGTCTTGGTTTCATGTTCATGTTGCGTTTATACCTTGGGGCTTAGTACCACGAGATGTGACATCTGTAAGTTTGTTCTTGCGAGCAAAAACGCACTGCTTGATGCTCAGGAAGTCAGGGGTGATATGTATCTATGATTTTTCCCTAGAGTGAATTGCTTACTTGCTTTAGTTTTACTCTTCCACGGAAATTGTCAAAATTCTACTACAAACATGTGTTAGAAATTTATCTAAAATGGGATTAACTCAGACTGTATGGAATACTTTGGGAATCAAAGCTACCAGTAGCTACTAACTAACTACCCCATGAGATTATATGAATCTAATTAACACGAGAACATAGAGTATGTAATTGTGCAGATAGGTTGTGTTACAGTAACTCTTTAGGACAAGATGAGGGTAGGAATTAACAATTGTAAGGAAGGGTGGATGTTCTTTAACATTCCAATGATGGAAGAGTAAGAAATCAAATCATCAAAATGTGGGCTAGTTTTGTAGATATCCTAATGAAGAAAATCATTGCACTTAAATAACTGTTATTGTTCAGACTTCACATCCTTGGCATTTTAGTATTATGATTTTTGAATCAGAATCAAGAATCTTGCTCTGAAAAACCTTATGTATGATTTTCATTTATTTAAATGATAATACCACTTTAGGGTAAATTATGGGCAGTCCAATGTTGCAGGTTATGACTTAAATTTTTTTGTGCTCACAATTTTCAGGGTTTCGGTGGGACAGACAATGGATGATTGTCAATGCAAATGGGAGGATGATCACTCAAAGGGTTGAGCCAAAGCTTGCTCTGATTGAAATTGAGTTGCCTTCCGAAGCTTTTTCTGAGAGTTGGGAACCTTCAAGTGATTCATACATGGGTAAAGCTTTGTAATTTCACCCTACAAATTTATCTGTGATGTCGTATGCACCTTACAGTTCCATTGGCCATTGGATTGTGATATTTTTAACATATACGAAGTATATATCATTTGATCTTCATTCCCCAAGATGATGAGGTGACGTAGTGGCCCTCTCATAATTAAATTAAATTGAAGCGATGTTTTGTCTTTGATGTGTGTAATTTTTCTCCTGTAGTAATAAGAGCTCCAGGGATGGATACACTGAAGGTTTCTCTGAGTAAGCCTCGTGATATGGTTGAGCATGTGTCTGTATGGAATTGGAATGGCTCTGCATTAGATGAAGGAGCCACAGCAGCTGAATGGCTTTCAAATTACATTGGTAAGCCAAGTCGGTTGGTGCGATTTGATCCAGGTATTTCCTGCTTGACTTTTATGGCTTTGATTAGTCTTATAAAAGTCATGGAAAGATCTGCCTTAAGAATGGCTGAGTATGTCTAATTTTGTAGTATCTAATTGCATATTAAGAGCTTATCTTCAGCAGAAAATCCTAGTATAGGATTCTATTAGCTCTTCTTAAGGTAAGGCCATGTTTTCGGCTCCCATATAGATATATATTATGTGAAGGTCATTGCAAAATACTCTTGTGAGTTATGATAATTACAAGGGACTATCCTATATAGGGTTTCATTTCCACGCATTTACATAGTAGATGAGAGAACTTATACTGTAGTGTTTTTTACTGCAGCATCGCAAACTAGAGCGACAGACCCTGAGTTTGCTAATGGATATAAAACCATGTTTTCTGACCAGTTTCCTTTCCTGCTGATATCCCAGGTTAATTATACGCAATTATAAAATGAACTTTTTCTCATTTGCCAGTTTTAAATGAAGGATCTCACTAGCATGTCTTGTGCAGGGCTCACTAGATGCACTGAACAAATCTCTCAAGGAGCCAGTACCAATAAACCGTTTTAGACCCAAGTACTAATAAGTTTCCTGATGTCTTCAAAATTTTGTGATGTAGATAATTTCAACATAAGTAATCTGTTTTCCATTCACAGGATATCTCTGTTTCTTTTGTTCTGTATTTCATTCTCTTTTGTACTTGCTCCTTATAAAGTAATACTTCGCAATAGTATGCTTTTAGGCTTTAGCATTGCACCCAAAAAAAAAAAGGCGCAGTTGATTGTGCTGTTAATTTAATGAGTATAGGTGTCTGATCCTAGTTTTGGTAAAGAAGCATACAAAATAAGATGTAGCTCATATACTATACCATCATCTCATTTTGGAATTCTTGGATTTGCTTTTATTTCTGATACCATTATCCTGCTTTTGATGTTGCAGCATTCTTGTTGATGGTTGTGGACCATTTACTGAAGACTTGTGGAAAGAGATCAAAATCAACAAGTCAACTTTTGTTGGCGTAAGGCTTTGTTCACGTTGCAAGGTAAACAACTTTTGCTTTTACATAACCATTTTCTTAATGAAATTTTTATTACATTAATCCTCAATAACAAAATTAGCATGGACTAGAATTTATTAAAGTCTTTACAAAGGAGTTAATTTATTTGGTTAAATAAAGGATGTGTTTCGTATCAAGTCGTAAAATCAATACATTAACAGCAAAATTGTGGTCATGATCAAGATAACAAACTCAAGAAGGTAGTAGTGAACTAATGATTTTGGAGCATTGGGAGTTGCATCATGCAGGTGTTACATTGCATTATTTGCACGTCATAAACTCATGACCATTGCAGCCTGATTGAAAATTAAGGATACTGCCAGTATATTATATTTCAAGTACTTGTTGTTTATTTATTCATTTATTTAATGACTGTAAGATTATTGAAACTATACTTTCCAATACCGTACCTTGTTATTATGTGAAGACATGAGTAAATGTATACATTTGTCATAGGTATAATACGAATTAAGGTGTAAAGACTAAAAGATAAATTATTAACATGATTTTAACTGTTGATGTAATTATACTAGGATTCATACCAGTTGTAGTACTTGGTATGATTTTAAGACACGTTATTCAAATTCAATGTGTACATATATGTAGTTTTAAAATTTTGTCAAATGCTCACCCTCCCTTCTTTTGCCCTATGGTGTTGGGACTGTTGGTTTGACCATACTGCAGATACCTACGATCAATCAAGAAACAGGGATTGCTGGTTCAGAGCCAAATGAAACCCTCAAGGAACTCAGATCAGATAAAGTCTTGCTTCCGAATAAAAAACCTCAAGGGCAGGTATGCTATCAAATCTCAGGCCTTGTTTTGTTCATCTTGCTTCTACTTATTTCTAGGAAATATAAGTTACAATTTCAAATAGAGGGTTAATAAGTTCAGATAAAACATGCCATATATGCGTATGCTTATTTGAATTCGCTTGACTTCATAGCAATAATGTAAGATGATAACTTGGTGAGATCGTGATGCAGATTTATGTAGGACAGCACTTAGTTTGTAAGGACTGCTCTACCAGGGATAGGGGCAACGTTATTCAGGTGGGAGATCCGGTTCACGTTTTGCAGCAAGTTTCTTCAACTGCAGAGGCTGCAGCATAGTATCACCCAACACAAAATTGTATTACAGTACCTTTAAATACGCGTATGTGCCAGAGTATAAGCTAAGGGAGGTACTTTAATATCTAAATACGTGTTGTGGTGTTTTTTTATGTCAAACATTGTCCTGTGATAGACAAACATTACCAGAAGCTCTACCTATTTAGCTCTATGTATCTTGTAAGGTATCATGTTTTTCAGTAAAAACATTGGTGTACATTTGATGCACTGTTTGTCCAAGCTTCTAATAAAAGAGTGGTTTAATAAAAGAGTAATGATATATGTAGCCCTTAGGAATAAATATACTTCCTAAAATGGAATTAAGTTGGAAATTCATAACAAAATCATGCACAAATCAATTACATTATATTAAAGGCGAAGCTTAAGAACACTTGGCAAAATATTATAAAAAGTTTTCCCTCCAAAACCACTTACTAAAAAAAACTTATTGTAATTAAATTATGACTTTTAGTTTGTATAAATAATGTCCTTAAATATCAAATTGTCCATTATAACTATTACATGTGTAATTAATTTCTTTCACAATATTTCATACTTTTTATTACTAAGTCTATCAGTCAATTTACATTATAACACTTGGCAAAATATTATAAAAAGTTTTCCCTCCAAAACCACTTACTAAAAAAAAAACTTATTGTAATTAAATTATGACTTTTAGTTTGTATAAAATCTAAATAAATGTCCTTAAATATCAAATTTTCCATTATAACTATTACATGTGTAATTAATTTCTTTCACAATATTTCATACTTTTTACTACTAATTCTATTTATAATATTTATATCTATTATTTTTGGTAAAATTTATTGTCATTAGAATTATGACTTTTTGGTAAAGTTGGTAAAAATCTATTATTTTTTTGGTAAACTTATTGTAATTAAATTATGACTTTTTGGTAAAGTTTGTATAAATAAACCCCGTGCAATGCATGGTTTAATCTAGTTAGGGCCTGTTCACATTTACTGAACTGAACTGAACTGATTGGAGCTGAACTGAACTGAACTGAACTAAGCTGAAATGAATATTTTATGAGAGAGAGAAATTAGGAGCTGAACTGAACTGAACTGAGCTGATTGGAGTTGAACTGGACTGAAATTAAGTAAATATGAACATGCCCTTAGTGTAATAAATGTTAATTTATCTTCAATACAGAGTATTTTCTTTTTTAGCTTCTTATACATAGTCCTATGTTTATCATTTTTCAATGTTTAAATGCGTGCATTAAAAACTAAGAAAATGAATTTCAACGGTAAAACCAAATAGTAGGAGTATTAGTTATTAAGGGTAATAAAATGGAATTAAGGGTAATAAAATGGAATTAAGGGTAATGTTATATTTTCATGATTTATCATTTAATACAATTTTAAAAATGGTATAAATATAGAAATTCATAATAAAAAAAACACTCGTAAATCAGTGTAATAGTGTTTATATTTTCATGATTTATTAACTTTACACAATTTTTTAGTGTGTATTTAATGCTTATATGTAGTCCTAAAGGATATGTAGATAAAATATATTTATGTAGAGAAGATATGATTTATTGTATTTCATAGGTAAAGATGTAAAAACACGTACACCCGACCCGATCCAAAACCGACCCCGGAAAAATATTCGATTCAGATTTTGATTCGCGTGGACATAATAATTTAATTCACAGTACATAAATTGCCAATTAAACACAATCCAACTAACAAATTTTTTTTTTAATATATATATCTTATTGCAAATGATAATAACAATACAGAGTAATAATAATAAATGTCTTTGTATATAATTAACTGTATTTTTTTTAATTTTAATTTTTAATTTTTTTAATTTTTATTATTACTATATAATATACAAATCGTAAATGTAATAATAATAATAAAATACAAAAACGAAGTCGTGCATCAAGAATATGTTGAATTATTCAAAGAAACGTGAATATTTTCAGCTTGATCTTAATTTTACTTTGAATCTACGTAAAAGTTATAGGATTCTAGATTTGAGAGGTTGACATATATGTGGAGTGTTTGACGTTAGAATTGTTTCGGGGTTTTTGTCCCTCGGGAGAGTTACAACACTGAAACTGGATTCAACCGAGGACGCCTGTACCTGCAAAGCAAACAGACCTCCGGATGGTTGGGGGTCCGCCTCCGAAGATTAAGTCAGCAAACGTTCGGAAATAAAACGTGCGGAAGTAAAGTTATCTGCTTGGATTCCAAGCTCAGGTAAAGTGAGATAAGTGATGTATTGTCTCGTATTGCGTGTCAAAAATTCTCTCTCCCTGTCATAAATGACATAATGTCCTTATTTATAGGGTTCTTTTGAAAAGTGTGCCTTCCTAGGACCTGGTGACCTAGGAATTAGGTCACGTCGTTTTGCGGCGCCTCGGGATTTGGGCCTTAGAAGGCCGCCATCCCAGGGCCAATGCCTGAGTGACACGTGTCACTGTGCCAAAAGGATTTTGAAGCACTTTTTGTGTGACACGTGTCGCCACCTGAATGGTCCCTACTGGACCTTCAGTCCACGTAGGACGGAGAAGAGTCCACCCTCCACGTGTCATCATTCCATAGGTCCAAATGGCACCTATACGGAGGACACGTGACACTTTCTGATTGGGCCACCTGGCCGGATATAAAATACCCAAATCATTTGCTCCTCACAGGGGTCACGTGCATTGCACGTGACTCCTGTGACAGGTGTCAGTACCTGAGTGGTCAGATTCAAAAATTTACTGGAGGGAAAAAATTAGGGTTTTACCCCCCTATAAATAGTGAGGTTTGACCCCCCCTCTTGGATTCACACCTTGGCGAATCTCTGGAGAATCTTGGACTTTTTGACTTAAAGAATCTCAAAATTCCCTAAGCGTTTTTCAAGCATCCGACACTCGGCTACCAGTCCGACCGTTCTTTAGTAAACCAGGCGTCTTTCTCCCTTCTTCTAAAGGTAACGCCTGTATTTTCTTTTTACTCTTCATTTTTTCTTTGTTTTCGAAAAAATGGCTCCCTAATTGCATGCGGCACGGCGTAGGATAGTGATCAGCCGGTCACCGGGGACGGCTGAATCTAGAACTAGCAGTGCCGAATGCTTGGCCAAAGACCCTGATTTGCGAACTTCTCCGAATCCGACCGTTTCCGTGTCTGTGCAGGACACTATGGCAAGAATCAAAAGAACAACAAGGCAGTGTAGCTCCGATGGAGTTTTCTACCATTCGGATGGGTCGACTGTTTTTTCAGACGGCTCAATAAGAGTGCCTCGAAGTGAGCTGTCGGAACACCCTGACAGCCCTTCCTATCTTCCTCCTACCCCCACCTATTACCATTCGCCCACATCTAGTGGAACTCCCAGTGATGGAATCCTGGGGGAGGCGGATGAAGAATATCAACCCGGGCCTTCTGGACAGGCGCTGGAAGAGAGTCTAGGGGAGGACCCCGCTGGCACCAGTCGGCGGTCCCCTAGCTCTGATGAGAGCTCTGATGACGAGTCGGCCTCGTCATCTTCTTCAAAGAATGCCTCCGTAACTTTAGAGGAGGCTAGATCAAACATAGATTCTGCCAGAGAGTCCCTGGCAGTGGATAGGGGGGAAAGCTGGGCCAAGCCGAGTGCTTCCAGGCGCTTGGGGAGAGCCCCCTACTATCAGCATGTTCCGCCAGGCAGGCAGAGCGCCATGGCATCCGGCCTTGCCAATTTTAGGCGCAAGGTCGTCCTAGGCTATGGCTACACTTTGTCGGTCCCTAACGAGGGCGACACCATAACCTGGCCGAGCCTGGCCAGCTATCAAGACAAAGCATTCGGCTGCTATGAAGCGGCCTTCCAGGCTGTCCTCCGCTTCCCTCTCCATCCGGCCGTGTAGAGGATCTTGGACGGATACCAACTGGGTATCTGGCAACTTGTACCCAACTCCTGGATCAATATCTTGGGGTACGTTGCCGCCTGTGAGATGCTGCAGGTGGAGGCGAGCTTTGAAGCGTTCGCCCACATGCACTATCTGAGCAGGGCGCCTGCTAGGGGCGGTGAAGGCTGGTACACCTTGACCACTTGCAAGGGGTACATGATGGCTGTTGGCAAAGAGAACAAGTGGAAAGACTGTAGGACTAAGTTCTACATAGTCAAGTCTGCCGATAGCCGCCTGAACCAAAAGTATAACAGGTGGAATAAGGATCCACCTCTCCTAGCAGGTAGGAGCGCATTGCCGCCTATTCCCAGGCGGGCAAAGGAGGAGATCATGGACGCGGGGTTGTTTACCGTGTCCGTGTGGACGAATGATGAGGGGGACAAGGAGGTCACCCCTTAATGCTATCTCCCTTTGTACAAGTGGTTTGAAGAAGGGACATTCTTAGCCGCCTGTGGGCTAAGTTTTGAGATGCCGAGAGGTAGTCGACCGTCTGTTTTATATGCAATTTACTTTTGCTTTTCAGTACTTGTTTAATGATGCTAACACTTGTTCATTTTTGCAGACAAAGCAATGGAAAAGCTCTCGGCCACAAGGAAGCCGGCTGTATCTGCTGCTCGATACAGGTCGAATGTCCTAAATAGGGCAGAAGTAACCACTCACACCAAAGTGGACGAGCAGAAAACTGGCGGCACCTCCAAGGTAGAAAATTGTTTTACTTTCATTTCTGACCAATATTAAATTTGCCCGAATGATTTCTAACTTGCGTTTATCTTGTGTTGATGTAGGGTGCACCTTCCAAATCTCCTTCAAAACCATCCGACCCTAAAATCCAAAAGACTAGGGCGGGTGATGTGAGCGCATCCGGCAAGGGCGGCCGGAAGCACATTGCTCATAGGCCCAAGAAGGGCCCAGACGCCTCTTCTCTCGAAGCTGAAAAGGAGATCAGCAAACCGGATGCCCAGAGGGCATCGAAGGGTGGCTTTAAGCAACCCACCACTGCTGTCGGCTCAACAGGAGAGAAGAGGAGCCTGGGGAGAGAGGAGGAACAGAAGGACGACGGTAAAATTCATTCGCCTCTATTGTTCTTCCATTTAGATGTACTTGAGTTATTTTTCTAACTTTCTTTCCTTCTCAGTTCCTGTGCAGAGGCCGACTGTAGTCCAGATGGCCAAGTCCATGCTGAGGGCGGTTAATCCTGACGACAAGGCGTCTGTCAGAGGAGTCGGCATCCTTGACTTGGATGGCATCTTGGGGAACCTTTGCGAGGTATGAGTCTTAGCTCAAGAAATTTTTTCAATTTTTTTTTCGCCTGTTTTTAACCATTCGGCTCTTTTGCAAGCCATGCTGCGCGTCCAAGGGCTTAGGCTACCCCTCAAGGAGAAGTCCAAAGAGGTAACAGTTTCCAAAGCTTGGGCCGAGTCCGCCTTGGATCGAGCTCAATTTGATATTGCTCATAATGAGTTTCTGACGCTTGATATGATGTATTCGCAGGCGGAAGCCAATATGCAGGTGAAGAAGGACCTGGACTCGGCTCGCCTGCGCATCACTTCCCTTAAGAAAGAGATTACAACTCTTAAGGAGAAGCTCGAGCCTCTTCAAGATGCCAAAGAAGAGGCCGAGAGAGCCAAGCAGAAGGTGGGCCGCCTGGAGCAGCGCCTCAGCAACCAGGAGCATCAGCTGAAGTCCAAGTTTGAGTCCGTGGCTGATCAAGAGAGAGAGGCTCTTGTTAAGAAAATGATGAGCGATTATGAAGCCATCATGCGGGATACTTGGGCGGCTGTACAGCCGGACTCGGACTATCAGATTTGGAAATCCAAATTTGACGAAGCCAGCAAAGCATTCGACGCTCGCCTTATTGAAGAGGCTGAGAATGCTGAGGCCGAGGAAAGTTCTGGGTCCGACTCTTCTGGGGAGTCGTCCTCTGGTGGCGAGGAGGAGGATCAGGCGGAGGAGCAAGAGAAAAAGGATGAAGAGCAGCCGAAGGACGACAGGCCGGCTGCCACTGAAGAGGCTCTCCCCTGATCACTTAAGCTTTTATGCTTTTCTGCGGCCGAATGGCCATGTACTTTTCTTTTCCGGCCTGCGTGCCGAGTATTTGTATCTTTACCGACCGAGGGGTCGGGTAATTTGACAATCTTTCTGGCTTTGCCTGATGACAATCTTAACCAATCGTCTGGTGGCGATTGGTCTTTTTTAATTTGAATCATTCGGCCATTTGGCTGAAGTTATCCATATTCTGTCCTTTGAACTGCTTGAATTTTTATTTTTCATTGCATGTTTTTGGCTAAGTATTATAACCTGTATACCATGCGAATGTTCTTGCCCCTGGACGGATGTCGAGTGGTTTCGGTTTATTGGATTGATTGATTTAGAAATCATTGATACTTAGAAGGGTATGCATGGTTTCTAAGTCAATCAATCACTTATGGTGATTGCCCCAAACCACTCGGCAGTCGTCCATCTAAAACAGGCAGCTTAAAGCCTTCATTCGGCCATTGGCTCGAACAAAACTCAGATTTCCAACTTAACAGATTTGCTAAGAGAGAACCTCCGTCTGTTTTGCCCCATAAGAAAAAACAGGCGTCTCTGGCCATAGGCCTCTTTGAGATAAATTGGCCAAGTTTATAACTTAGCCAATTTTCTTTTAAAAATGATTGCCCGCCTACCTTGCCCCATAGGCAAGGTTCAGGCGTCATCCGGCCAATGGCCTCAATAAGCGCCAAGTAGTTGACTTAACCCTTTTATTAATCAAATTTTCCGCCTGTTTTGCCCTCGATCAATAACAGACACATCCGGCTTTATGCCTCGTTTAGCTTCTACTTATGAGAACAGTGACCATTTCTGAACTGTACTAGAGCAGTTAGAAAATTCGAGTCTCTTTAGATCTCACTTTCGATTAAAACAAACGGCTGCAAATGCTGCCTTAGCATCCGGTAGGGCCGCTTGGTATATTCGTAGAGCAATGTGCCACCCAAATGGGAGATGCTTCTCCTCGACGAATTCGCCCGAATGGACGTCGCCGGTTATCTGACCTATGTTGGAGCAGACGGTCATACTCATATTGGAGCAGACTGTGACCATTCGGTCTCTTTTTGTTTATTAACATCCGGCCATGGGCCTCATCATGATTTTATCTGGCCTTAGGCTTCTTAAATGGTTACGTAAATATTCGTCAAGTGTTGGTGTAAACTTGATGAATTTCGTAGGAACGACTGTTCTAAAACAATCGGTTCCTTCAGAAGGATTGGAGCGTCTGCTGTTGAGACAAACGCTCTACAAACGTATTGGCCGTCTGTATTGTATACAGGCGACACTAAGAGCTTAAATAAAAAGACAAGTTGGGAAATGAAGGCATATTCTCATTAACAATACGCGAGATTTACAAAATTGAGGTTTTTACATTTGTACTTAGAAGTAGTACTTTTTCAAGTTGTCTACATTCCAAGTTCTGGGCAGCTGCCTGCCGTCTGGGTCTTCCAGGCGGTAGGTGCCGTCTCTTACTTCCTCATAGATTCAGTAGGGGCCTTCCCAATTTGGGGTTAGCTTTCCCTGTTCGTTCGCCCTACCGACTGCCTCCATTTTCCGTAGCACAAAGTCCCCCACTTTGAGAGGACGCTTGTATACTCTTTTGTTGTATGCCCGAGTCATTCTCAGACGGTATATCTCATGACGCAAGGCAGCATCGCCCCTGCGCTCTGGAAGTGAGTCCAATGCTAGGCGCATGGCCTCCCAATTCGCCTCTTCATCATACAACATGATTCGAAGGGTCGGCTCATAGTGCTCAATGGGCAGAACAACTTCTGCACCATACACCATTAGGAATGGAGTTTCTCCCGTTGCCCCTTTAGTAGTCGTTCTGATGGACCAAAGGACGTGTGGTAATTCATCCGCCCAAAGGCCACCAGCCCGCTCAATTTTCTTTTTAATCCCGTCTGAGATTAACTTGTTGAAGGCTTCGACCTGGCCGTTTGCTTGCGGCCGGCCGACTGATGCGAAGAAGCTTGAGACCCCCTGGTCTCCCAGCCAAGTCTTGAGTTGAGGCGTCTCAAATTGAGGACTATTGTCAAAAACCATAGACATGGGCACCCCGAAACGAGTGATTATGTTCCTCCAGATAAAGGAAATGACGTCTTTAGTCTTGATGTTTTTGACTGCCTCAGCCTCTACCCACTTGGTAAAGTAATCCACAGCCACCAATATATAGCGCTTGCCGCCTGGTGCAGTTGTATATGGCCCCAGAATGTCCATGCCCCATTTGGCAAAGGGTATTGGGCTGTGGATGGCCGTCAGGTCTGTAGCCGGACGATGGATGAGATTGCCAAACTTTTGGCACTTGTCACATTTTTTCACCATTTCCATGGCATCTGACTCCAGAGTTGGCCAAAAGTAAAGCCACCTGGCCTTGGCCGCGAGGGGTTTGCCGCCTATATGGGAGGCGCAGAATCCCGAATGAAACTCTTCGAGGACTTCCTTCCCCTTTTCAGGGGTAACACACTTCAACAGGGGTTTCAAAAAGCCAGCCCTAAAGAGCTCTCCTTGTCGCAACTTGAAGTTAGCTGCTCGTTTTTTTAAAACAGTCGCCTCCCGTGGTGAGTCAGGGAGCGTGCCATCTGCAAGATAAGCCCGGATGCTGTCCATCCAGGTTGAGCTTCGGTCAAGAATTCCAATGGGGTCTTCCTCAGATATACTTCTTTTTTCCATGACCTCCCAGAAAACTGACCGAGGCGTTTCACAGGAGGCGGATGATGCCAACTTGGACAGAGCATCCGCCTGATTGTTTGAAGACCTGGGCACCTGAGTTAGATGAAATTCTTCAAGTGACCCAACTTCACTCTTGACCGCCTGCAAATATTTTATCATGGCCGGATGAGTGGCCTCGTACGTTCCATTAACCTGGAGTACGACCAGTTGAGAATCAGAGCAGACGGATATCTTCTTCGCCCCTGCCGCCTTGCAATACCGGATGCCGGCCAGCAGGGCCTCATACTCGGCCTCATTATTAGAGACCTGAAACTTGAACCGTAGTGCGTATTCGTACTTATCTCCTTCAGGAGATTGACAGATAATCCCCGCACCACAGCCGTTCACAGTGGAGCTCCCATCCACATACACTTTCCAAACCTGGTCTGTATTGTCCGGAACAACCGGCCTTGTCATTTCGACAATAAAGTCAGCGAATGCTTGTCCCTTTATTGCCTTCCTTGGTTCGTAATTGATTTCTAATCCTTGCATTTCAATCGCCCATTTGAGCATTCGTCCAGAAGACTCCAAGGTTGTGAGTGACCGTTTGATCGGTTGGTCAGTATAGACCTCTACCGCATGCGCCAAGAAGTAAGGTTTAAGCTTTTTGATGGCCATGTAAAGGGCAAGGCCGAATTTCTCAACCATATGATACCGAAGCTCCGCGTTTCTCAGAACATGGCTTATGAAATACACCGGGAGCTGGGTGCCATTTCTCTCAGCTAAGAGGACGGCACTGAGGGCATGATCAGAGACGGCTAAGTACATGAAGAGCTTCTCTTTAGGCAAAGGGCTGACAAGCCTCGGCAAAGAGTGCAGATGAGTTTTTAGCCTTTGAAAGGCCGCCTCTGCATCATCCCCCCATTCAAAGTTTGTCTTCTTTTGATTTCTTGGAAAAAGTAGAGACACTTGTCGCCTGACCGGCTGAGGAATCTCCCCAGGGCCGCTAGACAACCTGTTAGTTTTTGCACTTCCTTCACAGTACGGGGCGACTGCATGTCGATCACCGCCTGTATTTTCTCAGGGTTGGCCTCTATTCCCCTTTGGTCAATCAAAAATCCGAGAAACTTCCCAGACTCAACACCAAAGACACACTTTTTTGGGTTAAGCATGACCTTGTGCCGCCTGAGTGTGGCGAATGTTTCTCGGAGATCAGCAAGGTGATCCGCCTGCTGTTTGGATTTGACTATCATATCGTCAATGTACGCCTCTACATTCCTTCCGATTTGATTAATGAAGACCGTATTAATCATTCGTTGGAAGGTAGCAGGCGCATTCTTCAAACCAAACGGCATCACCGTATAACAGAACAACCCCTGATCAGTGACGAATGCCGTCTTTTCTTGATCTTTTTTCCACAAGGGGATCTGATGGAAACCTGAATAGGCGTCCATGAAACTCATCAGGGCATGTCCGGCTGTTGAGTCGACCAGACTGTCGATCTTAGGCAGTGGATAGCTATCCTTTGGACATGCCTTGTTGAGGTCTGTGTAATCAACACACATCCGCCAAGTTCCATTCGACTTTTTTACTAACACAACGTTAGCTACCTACTCAGGGAAGTTGCACGGCCAAATGAACTTGGCATCTAACAGCTGTTTTACTTCGGCAGCTGCCGCCTGACTTCTTTCTTCACCGTGGTTTCTTTTCTTTTGCCGGATGGGCTTCTTTTTAGGATCCACGGCGAGTTTGTGGATAGCGAGATCCGGGCTGATGCCTGACATCTCCTCCACTTCAAAGGCAAAGGTGTCTTTGAATTCCTTGAGCAGCTGGTGAAGGTTTTCACCCAACTTTGCAAAGGCAATCGTCCTCACCTTAACAGTCCGCTCTGGACGGCTATCATCCAGAGGGATATCAATGTGCTCACCAGTAGGCTGGGGACGAAGATCATCCGACCTTTCCCCGGTCAGTGATTGCTATTGCTTTTCTTTTTTGACCACCACCAGGTGATCAGTCTTTCTTTTCTTTCTGGCTGGTGGAGCCGACTGTTCTTCCTCGACATCGTCGAGGTCAATCATTTGCTTGCCCCGGCCGGATGCTGCGGCCGCAGACTTGACGTCCGAGAGATAACACTCTCGAGCCGTCTTTTGGTCCCCATTAAGGGAACCAACTGTTCCATCATCCTTCTCATACTTGAGTAGCATGAGAGCAGGGATGATGACGGCCTTACACTCATTAAGAGTGGGTCATCCAAATATGAGGTTGTAAGCCGTGAGCTCTTCAACCACTAGGAAACGGATGGTCATGTGCCGACCGTCTCCCCTGCTTCCCAGGCGGACAGG